ATTTCGAGAAAAAATTGACGCTGTTTTTGAGAACATTTCAGGTCTCTTAGAGACTCGCGTTTTACTCCCTTTTTGTGCTACCTTCGCTTTTCTCACTTTTTCTGGCAAAACTCTGTATACTCTTTTGTCTACAATCAAATTATTTATTTATAATCTTGTAAATATAATTCTTCAAAAGAATGTAGGAAACTGTGAGAAAAAGGCAACACAAGCTATTTGGGAAATTATAACATTCGGAAATAAGTTCCCGAATTCACGAGTTCAACATAGAGGATAAGGAAGTAAAGATGGGTACGGGCAACACTTTATCGGGAAGAAGTGCTCAGGCACCAGGAGGGGAAGTTATGGAAGGAGTTTTATGCACCTAGCGGCCTGTAAATGCCGCATTGTTCTGATCACTGTAAAAGAAATAAACAACTGATAATCGTAGTTCGACAGTTTATTTCTAGTTTCGACGACTATTCCAATTATTACAGTACTACGTTCACATTTCCTTTCACAGATATTCAGTTAGCTACGTTAGGAACGCATAATTGGCATTTGAAATACGGAAGTTACAAAGTTTGAAGGAATTGCTTGCCAAATTTGGAATTTCATCTAACAGAATGTGAGGTTTGCCGTCTTTGACGATTCATGAAAAGTAAGTATTTTCAGTTATCAATGAGTTGTCTTTAGTTGTCCCTATTTTATTGTCAGAATATTGCCATCACTTTCCATAAATTATATGGTACTAACAAAGTTTATATTTGCAAATTATGTACTTCATATCTTACATTAGCAGAAGATGTACTCCGTTTCCCGGATATTTATCAATCTTCTATTAGGCAGGAAAGGGAATTCTATCTACAGGATAAATGTTATTAACTTCGATGACAAAATGCGAGTCAAATATGATTACTATTCCCAATATTTATGGTGGGAAAGTTCATATAATGAATTTGTGTGAAATTTGTCTCGGTGAAAAAACATTTATCAGGCATTGGTGTTTTCAGGTCATATTCTGCCGCAGTCAAGCAGAATTCACATGTATATCAGCCAAAATATGATAGATTACGCTAACTTATGATGGATTGCCTAGAGAGCAATAGGTGAAACTTCGTTTATCAACTTTCCCATCATACATTAATTGTCAAAACGTGAATCTTGCACCCCTACATCCCCTTGACTTGCAACATTCGTTCAGAGACCTTTAGTGTAGTATGTCCCCGCTGTGGCCTGCCCTGCTCTGCACTATCTAAACGCACCGTGATGTGTTCTGCCCACCAAGCTTCACCCTTGCCCTGCCTCGCATGGCCTCGCCCCTGTCCGACCGGAGCAGGAGGCGATCCCTGGCCGAAAGCAAAGCACCGCCGGCGGCACCAACGATAGCGCGGTTTCAGCGACTTCAGTGACTTCAGCGCCGGGGCGGCCGGCCGGTAATTTTGTAGTTTTCCCAGCTATATTCTAAAATAGTGTTCGCCGGAAATGAGACAAGCACCATTTTGTCTTTTGATAAATACAAGGAAATTTAAGGGAAAATTTGGAGAAGTTTTTGAGAAGTTGCTTAAAAATTGCCTATACTTTCATTTCACCCAAACTACTAATGATTTCGAAAAACATTGTACATTACCGTATTTCAACAACAGATTTCATTAATGGAGAAAAAATATCTATTTTCAATATTATAGTTATAAGAAGGTACCTAAAAAAACTGCCTTCTTGCAATTTTCGAAAAATCAGGGATTTAAACGAAAATGAGACCTGCACCATTCTCTTAAGCGCGTTTGCGCCATCCGAGGACAAAGTTTAATCTAAATATTTAGAGCCATTTTGGAGAAAGGAGTCATTTGGAGCCATTTTAAAAATATTTTTGAGGCTTCATGTAAAACATCCCCGAAAATCAAAATATCAGTTTCAAACTTGTAAATTAACTCTTAGGCCTTCCGTCTATTGAGGAATACAGTTTTGGAGAAAATTGGCTGAACAGTTTAGGCGCTGGCTTTGACCAAAGACTGGCAGACTTTTTGCCTACTAATGAAGTTCACAAAACCTGAATTCGGACTACACAACTTATAAAAGGAGGTAATTCACTAAATATAAAAAAAAGATTCAACTACTTTTTCGTTATCAGGACCCCGCAGTCAGTTTTTCGTTCGACAACTTGCAGTTTTCCTGGGCACGATTATAATACTTTCTCTTCTTACGGAGTAAGGGCGAGAAAGTAAAAATAAATAAATAAATAAATACTAAATAAATAAATACTAAATTAAATATAATAAATCTAAAATAAATAAATACTAAATAAACTAAAATAAAATCTAAATAAATAAATCTAGAATAATAATACTAAATAAATAAATAAAATAAATAAATAATAAAATAAATTACTAATAAATAATAATAAATACTAAATAAATTAATAAATAAATGCCTTCCGTGAAATTTTAAGAAACCTCGTATATAATATCCGGAAGTTTCAATTCCAGAATTTACCTAGTACCAGTAACTAAATTTCAGAAAAAAATAAAGGTTCCTTTTTTTAAATGTGCCTTGTGTGTTTTTTCATGGTTTTGGATTGATGTTAAGAAATGGTAACATTAACTTAGTTGTTACTTTACTTTTTTAAAGCAGTTTTCTTTGGTAATTAGGATTTCGTCTATAGAAATGGTTAATGTTCTCTTAATTACCATCTACTCGGTTTTTTTGGACGACAAAATTCACTATTTAATCTTAACATTTACTAACGCTAAGATGCCTGACATTTCGAAATTTGACAAAAAAAACTATAGATTCCTTAAGAGTAAAAAGTTGTTACATCAGTCAGATCAAAAAACTTTTTCGGTATCGGTGGCTCACAAAAGTATATTTCCATCAAAACATCGGCAGCGACTCTTTCCAACAATATAAAACTTTAGCTATGCTACGTAAACAATAAAATAAACATTGTATAAATGACACTCAAAAGATTGATTAAAGTTATAAAGGTCCATAATATTTACGAATTGCAATACATGGAAAGTACGATACTCAAAAGCTTGAATGTGGAATAATTAGAATCTGAATCTTAAATTTTTTTCCATGTTATACTTAATGAAATAGGTCTTCTTGTGTTTTAACGAACAGGTCTAAATAAGTCTTCCTCTTCGGAGAGACATTCATTATCTAGAGTTAAGACACTGATGTAGCTTTTGAGCGACGTAATATATTTCAGCGAATGAATATATATGACCTGTCGGGTCGATGACTGAGTTATGATGAATAGTCTCGGTTTGCATTGGTTAGAGATGACACGCTTGAAGTGGAATATGTGGGTGGCGCCTTCTGCTGACAGCGTCATCCGGCGTCTCCATTGTAGTCCTCCAGTGATGGCTGTGGAGGCGCATTTGTGAAATCTAATTTCAAAGCTAAAAATGATTAAAACGATATAAAAGAGATTGTTGGTTGGTATTATTATTATTGGTTATGATTATTATTATTGGTTATGATTATTATTATTGGTTATGATTATTATTATTATTATTATTATTATTATTATTATTATTATTGTTATTATTTATTATTATTGGAGGAAATGGTCATTTTTATAATTCGTTAAAATCATTATAACAGTGTAATTTCTTTAACACTAAATTTAAGTGTTTTCATTTCAAAGTTTTCTTTATAAGTAATAGGTTCTCGAACTGCTGCTCTGTAGGGGCCGCGAAGCGATTTTAGGGCGTCGTTGAAAAGGGCACAAGTTAAATTTTGACTCTTCAAATTTGCCGCTGTCGTTGAAGGAATCAAATTTCCTTCTGATATATTTTTTTTAGCGGTGTTGTCACATTGCGTTCTCCGAATCCAATTGCGTCTGAACTGAATTGAAAATTAGTCCCTCAGTGCTCCCCAAAATAGCACCGTATGAGTGGAAGAACAGTTATTGTGCAGCCCTCAGTACGGTTCTTCCATTCCTGTGTCACATGACCAGTCTTATCTTTTAAAGGTTTTCCTCCCTATACATTTATATCATTTCCTCTTTTATTTGTTTTTTTTAAAATAATTTTTTACAGTACCGGATCCAGTACAGTACAGGACGAGACTTTTTATAATTACTGGGTCCCCTAGTTAACCAAAATATTAAGGTACCTCATTTTTAATTAATAATAATAATAATAATAATAATAATAATAATAATAATAATAATAATAATAATAATGTGATGTTGACAAATATTTAAAAGAACACGTATGGGAATGATATTCGCACACCCTAGCAGATAACGCAATAAGATCCAATGTGTTTTCCAGACCCGCAGACGTGTTCATGCAGTAAACTTGCTTCTTCCTCACTCCACGTAGCCTGGTCTCTAAAGTCTGGCTAAAGCAATATTAATAAAATATAATTTCATGATTATTTTATAATTTTCCCTTATTACCTCTTTCAGTAATCCACACATTTTCAAATCTGAATTACATAAATACAAGTATATTTATAGAGCTGTAAAACTAGTGAATATATAACATTTTACCTTGAAATTTTTTTTCTGTTTTTTGTTTGTTTGTAAGTTTATTGGGATATTATATTTTATTCCTATAATTTGGGGACCCCTCTGAGGTTGACTCCCAAACAGCTGTTTAACTTTTCTAAGCGGACATCTACCTTTCACTACGACATAATGTCCTTCATAATTAATCTGTATTTAGGATTAATCTTACTAATTGACAGTTGAATTAGTTAAACTTGATGGTGCCTTTATAATCGAGCTCCTTTCCCTTTCCCTAATCATTAACGTTGTACGCCCCCAGCGCGCGTCGCCGCCGCCAGGTTTTTAATCCTTCTGCCCACGCTTTTAATGCTTCTGCTCCCGAGTTCCGCAGCGTGCGATTGCTCCGGCGTGCGTGCGGCGCCGATCTGCACAAAATGGCAGGAGGTGCCCCTTCTAACTATCACTTTGGGGGCATTTTTAACACTTTCTCTGATTTAACCTTTTCATTACAAACAAGAAGCAAGATCTTATTTCGTTTGTTTTTTTTTGTTTTTTTCAGAACTTTGAAGCAGTTCCTTATGCGAAGGAGAATTATGGAAAATTTTATACTGGGGATTCCTACATAGTTCTGTTCGTAAGTATTATTTTGTTTGTTATACTGTTTAACATATTTTTTTTCAAATACAATAGTAATACATCCTGTATAAAGTATTGTTTTTAAAATAAAATAGGAAGTCAAAAAATACCTTATAGTATCATTGTGATCACAATGTAACAAAATGGTTCATTATTGGCTGTACTGAATATCCTATTACACTTTTAAATCATAAAATCAATTTATTTGAATAAACTATAGTAAAAATGACATAAAATATTAGAATTTTCAATTGAGAGTTAAGATTGTGAGTTACTGATTGATAAATGCTAAAAAATTAGAAAACTGTAAAATGTGCTGATCTATTGTAAAGAAAAATTTTATAAATATTTATTTTAATTATATTTTTCTTTTTTGTCATACACTTGTCATTTAATTTCTTGTGATTTAGAAATAATGGGATATTTGTTGTTAGCCTGACAATGGAGTCTTCATTCTGGATTATTCTTAGTGGAATAAGTGTTCTTGTGAACAGCCAGTTCGATGCTGTTGTTCTGATTAATCTTAAACTACAATCTTAAATTTTATTTAAATAAAGTTGTACTCTTGCCATAAAATCATTGAATAATATTTTGTTTGTTACAGACAAAAGAATTTAAGGGCACCTTTAGCTGGGACATTCACTTTTGGCTGGGAAGTCAAACTTCTCAGGTGATTTACTTAAATTTTCTTTAATTTCAATTACCTTTGTAGCCAAACACTATTGTCTGTACATGTAAATGACCCAAAATTTTCTGGATTGCAACCAGGATGAAGCAGGTGCTGCAGCCATTCTATCAGTAGAACTTGATGATTCCTTGGGAGGTGCCCCTGTTCAACACCGTGAAGTCCAAGATTATGAATCCCAGCTATTTCTGTCACATTTCAAATCTGGTAAATTTTACCAATAATTAAAACTACAGAAGTACAGGCTTCTCAAATTTTTCTTAATTTTTTCTGCCAAACCTTCTTTGTTTAACTTGTAAAATGGATATAAAATTGAGGTATATCATTTTGAATGTTTGTGTAAATGAATGTTTTTGAATTATTTCACAGGTATCAGGTATTTGCCTGGAGGGGTTGCTAGTGGATTCCAACACGTGGATCCTGATGCAGTAGAAAAACGTTTATTCCAAGTTAAAGGCAAAAGGAATGTCAGAGTGCGCCAGGTAACTGGAGATGTGTGCAAAGTGATTCTCTGTTGTTAAACATTCTTTGCAAATTGTATTAGGTTATTAGATCATTAACAAACAAAATTGCACACTAGTGCATTTGTTGTTTCAAGGATGTAGATTTAAACACTAAACTTAAAATATTTTTAGTTGCAGAAATTACCTATATAAATGCTTATTTACAAAAATTACCAGTGTTATTACTTAAAATACATAGGTTGAAAATCTAACAAAAAATAGTGATTACTTCTAAAGTTTCATTTAAATAATGGGTATAGTCATTGCACATGCTTGGAATGTGCTTGAATTGTAAAGGAAATCTTTTTTTAATATAACAAGGAGTTTCAAAAATTTGTAGGCTGAATAGCTGGCTGCAGTTTAATCTTATAACTATTTCAATGCAAGTAAACTCGATATTGAGTATAAAAATTAAAAATAATGTTGATTTCAATAATGATATTTAATGAATTACTTACCATTTGTACTGTATAATTCTAAAAGACTAAATATGTCTATAACATGTATTGTATCTCAATTTCTGGGTCAATGGCCATTCACATTTTTTATCCATTCAGCAAATGCTGTGATGCACCCTGTTTTCCTTCTGGACAAAAATATAGCTTCACCATCTGGTAAAGTTTTTGTGAACCCAATGAGTTATTCAAATAATCATTTTCCTTTTTCTCATGGTAGTCTAATCCTTTGCGTAGCCCACAATACAAGATGCTACAAAATCTGTGCCTCATTTGGTATTGCAAATACTTTTTATTACAAAGAAGCAAATATTTTAAACTAAAATCTTATCAAAAGAGCTTCTTGCGACCAGTATTCACAATTCAACCTAAGATTCATCAGTATCAGAGTATGGTTTTAAATACATATACATATACATATATGTATAAGGGACCATCCATAAATTATGTAGAACAGTAACGCAAATTTGGATTATTTTGAATACCCCATTCCCACACTGTAACACTTCTGTCACACGCACTTAACTCCTAAATAATTACGCAACGCTTGAGAAACCACCACTTCCCCTTCACAAGAAACACAGATTAATTATCTCAAAAAAATAATTTGTATTAATTTTAATTCTGTTATATTTTAAAATTATTGATAACTTAAGTCAGAATTAATTGTTAAATACACCTAACAATAAGACTGAGAACAAGAGTCTGTGAAGAAATGACCCATGGATGTGAAAATTTCTTATAACCTGTGCTCATGTAAACGTTCATGATACATGAGCGACACTCTACTGCATCAATTTAATTGAATTCTAGAATATATGATAATCAGTTTGAACACTTTCTTTATAAACTTATGATTTAATAAAAAATTATGAAAAAGTAGTTCCATTTAATGTGACAAATTACACAATAACTTTTTAACAATAATTAAACAATATTTTTTTTCGTTTTTTAAGAAGTAATTAATTAATTTTTATGTTTTGGTACAAGACTGAAAAAAGTAAGTTTTGCCAGAAAGTCAAAAAACTAAAAATAAATCAATGTTGCATAAACATTAACACTTACCTCTTCCCCCAAATAACCCAGTGTAATGCTGCCTACAACCCACTCCCCCCTCTTAAGCATTACGTAATTTATGGACAACCCCTAATATGTCTTTATTTATACATTATTTATCATTAGAAATGTTTAAGAACACGCAGAACATACAGGTATTCTTACTGTGACGTATCTACTTCTCCTACTGATATTATGAAGAAAATATCGTGAAAGAAATGATTAACTTCTCCTTTTTACAAACATTAGAGTACCGTACAGTTTTAAATGGTTACCGTGATGACTTCTCAGATGTTCTTCTTGAGTGTCTTCAGGCTTGATGTTGCCCATGGGATGTCCTTGATACCCTATTATCAGGCTCTTGCCTATCGTTAGAATAGATTATGAACATTTCTGGAATATCCTCAACTATTTGATAATTTATAGGATTCAGTAATTTCTAATAAATTATTTCATGGACTAGACTTGCCCTGGCTGTGCTTCATATGAAACCCTCATGCTTGACTATCTCTTCAGCTGACTTATTAAAAATTCCTCCCAATCTACAGAACTATTCTAATATAAATCCCATCTTACATTAACAAAACTTACAATTATAGTTCAATGTGAATAACACCTTCAACCTTTTACTCTGCACAATGCCAATCTATCAAGAGTGATAATTTTAACTTTCCTACAGAATCACGGCTTTCAATACCATCTCCATCTCTCTCGCATGTTATGTCTCCAGGTCCATTTCTTCCAAAATGAACAGCACTAGGACACCAAGCATGGAATACTACACTGTTTATTGATTGTCCTAACAACATAATTTTTTGTTCCCAAGTCTGCATACAAGTCCATAGTATTATACACTCTTGATGCCGTTTTTCCCATTCAAATTAAACCTGGGGTTTCTGACTTAACACAATAAAATCTCTATTTTATTATAGAGTTGAATTTTGAATAAATATGTCAATGAGCATTTCTGGACGTATTATGTAATGTGAAATATTCATTCTTGTACAGTAGAAACTATTTGTATTGGCAAAAGAGTTACAAATTTTATTTGATGGTATAACTAGACTACTTCAGCTGCTTTTAAGAATGGCATGTAACGCATGTTAAAATGGTGAAAAAAGGAAAATTAGAGACCTGTTTTCAGGCTTCATAATAAAATGCATATAGTGAAGGCTTCTTACCTTTTCTGAAATATAAATAGTTTCATTTTTGAAGTGATGGAGTGTTTTTTCAGAAAGTTAGTGGTGCAAGTTAAGTGCCCAAGTGTAAGATTTTTCCCCTTCACTACAAAATCCTGACCTGTGTCAATTTAGTCTTTCAATCATATTATTTGGGTAATATGAAAACTAGTTCATTCTGTGAACACCTTGAACCACACATACCAAATTAATGAATTTTTACAATTTTTCTCCTTGTTCTGTTTTCTAAGGTTGATGTAAATGTGTCTGCTATGAACAAAGGAGATTGCTTCATTCTGGATGCTGGAAAAGACATCTATGTTTATGTTGGACAGAAGAGTAAGCGAACTGAAAGACTGAAAGCAATCAGTGCTGCCAATCAAATACGCGATCAAGATCATGCAGGCAGAGCCCGTGTTCATGTAATAGGTACAGTATTTGCAAATTGCTTATGAATATAGAACTTTTTTGCCAACAATACCAGTAATCATTTCTTATTTTGACTTTCACTGGCATTAGCTATTTGCTAATTCATTGTTCATCTAATAAAAACTGGAGTATTTCGAACAGTTATCATATGACAATTTGTTATTTATGAACAAGAAATATAAAAATGATATCACTGAATTTTACTTTCCAGATGAATATAGTGGAGATGCAGAGATTGTAAAATTCTTTGAAGAGCTGGGTTCTGGATCTCCTGGTGATGTTGCTGAAGAAGGAGAAGGAGGGGATGATGTTGCATTTGAAAAGAACCAAGAGGTAATTTTTTTTGTGAATCTCGCTGAATATTTTAAGTGGGTGGGTGACTGACTGAGTGAGTAAACGTGTTGCAGAAAATCAGGATAATGTAAAGATCACCAAAATTTCAGTTTCCAACCCAATTATTGAGAGGTTTGAGATATTTCTTTCTCTGCTTTAGTCATTCTGGCAATGATTTAATTTGTCTGTATGTTAATTTTGTCATATTTTAAAATAATTATATTATTTAGACAGTAATTGCTACTTATTATTGAATTTAAATTGTTTGTTTTTTTTCCTACTCTTTCTTTTGCTTTTTAGGCTGTTGTAGCCCTGTATCGTGTGAGTGATGCTACAGGTGATATTGAAGTGGAAAAAGTGGCAGAAAAGCCATTACATCAAGATATGTTGGAAACAAGTGTGAGTACAAGTTTCATTTCTCAAATCTTTAATTTTGCATGGTGTGATTTATTTTATTTTATTGTGTGTTTTTAAACCCCAATTATGGCAAAGATAAAAATAGGAGTATGGACAAATAAGTTTATTTTAAAGTTGAAGTGTGCTATTTGAATGTTCATTTAATCACAAATTGCCTTTTGACAGCTGCTACTTATTATTTCTCCAAAATGATAAATTAATAAATTACTGTAATGATGTGTACCCTGTGGTATACTTTGACTAAAAGCAACCAAGAACATGCACTAAAAATATATTCTTTTTATTTCTTACTTGGTTTTGTATATGTAATTTGCCCATAACAGCATTTTATTTGAATTTTAAAATGAAATATTTTCTCATTATATTTTTCCACAAGCATGAACTAATATAAGAAAATCTACATTCATCAACACAGGAATTTGGAGGCCAGGTAGGTGATATGTTTTTGTTTGAAATGTTTCTCCACTAACATGAATGTTGAAGGCAAATCTTGTTCAGCTTCTTTCCTTTGATAAAGTGTTTATTCTTGTGTTGGGTTGATGAACAGAAATGACCTTATCTTGACCTCAATGTATATAATTATTTCACCATTTTTCCAATTCTGCAAACCAACTTTTTAGGTTACAAAAACACACCTTTTGAGACTTTACAAAGTGTCATATATTGCAAGTTAGTCAGTTGCCACAAGTCCTAATGAGAAAGTTAAAAAAGTTTTTCTTTTTTTTTTCCCCCTCAAGATTTGTCCAAATGGTACATTATTTCTGAATTAAAAGGTCAATATTTAATTTCAGGAAATAAAATACTTTATATTCCTATATTTAAAGGGCTTCATAATTATTGTTTTTAAAGAAGGAAAGGCTGGCAGAAATAGGAAGAAAGAGAGAGGAGGGTGGGTGGGGATGGAGACAATTTTCAGATTTTTTTGAATGACAATTTTTTTTGTGAATTAATAACCTTTTACTATTTAATTAATGCGTATAAAGACTAGAAAGTTTGTAAAAATTGTTTAGTCATGAAAAGATTCCATAAATCTCAATCTCTTTGTGAAATATTAAAATGCAAAATTAAAGGCATAACTCTTCACATTCTTTAAGTATTTTAAGCCTTTTGTTTGCATTAGTATATTTTTCTGTTTCATAACAAATATTGATTGAATTACTTGAATAAATTTTTTATTGTGCCTTTTTTGTACTATATTTAATGATGAAAAAGCCCACATCATTCTTTAAGTTTTATTACTGTGCTATGCAAGTAGTGAAGTACATTGCAAGCCTTTATCTGTTGAAATTTCGTTTATATATTGGGACTCTGCAATTAATATGGTTTCTTAGGCTTCTTGGCTTTTTCACTTTCTTCTTGCACTTAGATCAGTTTCATCATTGGTTTATAACTCTTTAGTTTGCATGAAGCTTATGGTGAGTGCCAGTAATTTTACTTCAATGTTAATAGAAAATGAAATCTACATGTGTTAGTTCTTAAAATTTTAGTATAGTGTATCTTATGTAGAGGTTAAATTAATTTCAGAGAATAAATATGTGCAGTCTATGTAAACTGTATAGATTTATTGGAGGTGGCAGTCCAGACATTTAAAATGAAAATGAAAAAGTTAGTTTAAATGACAACCATGCAGTCTCAAAATTTTCAAACTGCCCATTAACCTTCCTTACAAAGCATACTACATCTAACTTCCAATGATTTTCTATTTGAAAATAAAAGTTAAACATACCTTAATAACATAAACATACCTAAACATACCTTGCCGTTTCAATTTCTCTTGCCTTTCTTGATTAATTCTGCTGATGATATATGAATTAATGTTTTGAAAATCCTGATTTATTGTTTTTTTGAACATCATAGTTTCCAAGAGAATGTGTAATTCTTCTTGGTTTGTCTTTAACTATTGGGTAACTTTCAATTGACTGCTCAATTCCAATGCATTTGGGATGCTACTAAATTTCTTTGAATTCTTTTTTAACTTCTCATTATTTTATTATTATTGTTGTTGTTTGGGTGAACTTAGCAGATTTATTTTATTACTACTTGCATATATATTAGTACATTGATTAAATGATAATCATTTTCTAAATGATGTTAAATGACAATTGATGTGTTGATGCATGATATAAGAAATGACAGTTCAGATCTATTGAAGTAATGATACATCAAATGATACTCTTTGAGATGGAAAAATAGTTTGTGTCAAAAGAATTGATATGAAGAAAGTACTTGTTTGAAATGTACTACTAAGTAAATACAGTATACTGGGTAAAACTACTTAACTATCTCAAAGAATACTCTTAAGATATGCAGTACTTCTTCAATTCCCCATAATAAATAATTGAGAACAATATTTTTGAAGCAGTCATTTTGACTGGTCCTTGTCTTTGTATTTGGGAGAGCATTGTTGGCTTTATCATGCAAATTATTTTAGTGGGCATGTTTGTAAATAACACAACTAAATTAGAGTAAAAGTAATTTCATATGGCAAGTAGTAGACCTAGGTTAATTTTTTATGAAGACTGATTGAAATATCTCAGTTTATTATGAAAATTATCAGAAAAGATTGTTATTTGAAATATAAATCCATTGTGGTACTGCTCCAGCTCAAGAAGTGTAAAATCTAAAATGTATGAAAGTTCACACATGTAATAATATGTTAATGATTTTTGTCTCAAAGTAATGTGTGTTGACAGGATTGCTTCATTTTGGACACTGTTACATCTGGTATTTATGTGTGGATTGGGAAAGGTTGCACCAAAGAAGAAAAAGTTGAAGCAATGAAAAGAGCCCAAAAGTTTCTCATAACCAACAATTACCCTGAGTGGACAAAGGTGAGTTTCATTTTCAAAGAGTATGATCATCTTTTGCTTAAATTTTAATTTGGTTTCCAGATATTTGCTTCTTTTAATTTTGTACTCCCTTATCTTTCTTGCTTTATTTCTACTTTGTTTACTGCTGCAATGGAATAATTAGAAAATGGGAGTGAGTATGTAATAGATTTTGAGGCTTACTCTTCTTTTTAGCTTGTAATGTAAAGTAATTTTATTCTTAATTTTACTTCGAAAATGGTTCCCATTACCAAGGGATTGGTGTTTCAGATTCAACGCATAGTGGAAGGTGGTGAACCGTCCACCTTCAAGCAATATTTCAGTGGATGGAGAGAAAAAGAAGATCAGATTGGATTAGGGCGCATATATACTGTGGAACAAATTGCTGGTAAAAGAAAATTGTGTTTTAACCCCAAATAATTATTTTATGCATGTAGTTCAAGAAGCCCCTGAAGTGTTGTATTATCAACTAGGCCATTGAAGCTGAAACTTAGAATGCATGAATTTGTGAGGAGCAAAATGTAAATGGGACTCCCCCCCCCCTTTTTTTAAATCTTTCAATTTTGAGAGACTTTTCTAACAAAAGAATCATTTGTGTTCCTAAAACATGATAAAAGCTTCAAACTGGAGAAATAATGAAATACGACTGTAATTTGGTGTGTTCAATTTTTTAGTAAAATGATGGTCAGTCGTAAGCTTGATCCACCTTGGCAGAACAAGTAAATTTTCTGCAGCAAAGCAAAAAAGAAAAACAACAACAACAAACAAACAAACGTTCAGCATTGCATATAATTCATTATGAGAATTTGAAAAATGCAAAATGATAGGTGAAGATTAGGGAAGACAATCATTCAAATGAATTTGCATTTGAGAATGTATATAAATGTAATTATATAATAATCCAACTTTTCTATCTAATTCTACTTTTGCAAGCATGAAGACAAATTATTCAATTCTTGGAATAGGCTAACCTTTAAAATCTTAATACATATTGAGTGAATTAAATGAAAGTTCTATTTGTTGCAGCTAGCATGCCTGAAGGGGACTTTGATCCAAGCACTTTGCATGCTGAGAAAATAAGATTCTTGGCAAAAAATAGTGGCAAGGCATTTGGCTTCATGCCAGATGATGGCTCTGGTCAGCTGGAGATATTCCGCGTGGAGAACTTTGAACTAGTATCAATTGAACCTGCAAATCATGGTTTCTTCTTTGGTGGAGATTCATATGTAATAAAATACACTTATGAGAAAAATGGGCGCACTGGTTACATTATCTATTTCTGGCAGGTTTGTAGGATTAATATTACAGTCATATATTTGTATAAGCAGAGGCGGATCCAGAGACAAATTTTGGGAGGGGAAATTAAAAAGGTTTTGGTGAAATGTCATATTAGAGATTTTGTTAAATGTCACAACTACAGTCAGCTCATGCTGCGATATGATTTTATTTGTTTTAATGATCATCTGAAATTTCTGCTTTAAAATTTTGTGAAAAGTTAAAATTAATAGTTAGGGAAATTTCCCTAGGGAAAAAAAAAGTTTTGAAATTCTCCTGCCTGTGGATTCACATTTGGTATGAGCAAAAAATAAAATGTTGCAGTTTAGAGTTATTTCTTGAAGCTCTAAAGAATCAATTGCACTTTCAGGGAAGAGATAGTACAACAGATGAACGAGCTGCCTCAGCAATTCACGCAGTCAGATTAGACAATGAACTTAATGGAAAAGCAATCCAAGTGCGGGTAACACAAGGTCATGAACCCCGGCACTTTTTGCGCATTTTTAGAGGTAATATAGTTTAATTGGCAATTATTTTAAACTCAAAATATTTGATAATGTGAAAGTCCTGAATATTTATTTAAACATTTGCAAATTGAAGAGTAACTTATGAGTGTCACCTTTTAATTGTGTAAATATTATTTTTTGCAGGAAAAATGATTGTATTTCTCGGTGGAAAAGCAAGTGGTTTCCGAAATCTTAGAGATCATGATACTTATGATGTGGATGGAACCAGACTCTTTCAGGTTTTGAATAATTTATATTAAATCGAAGTATTTGTTTCATTTTTACAAATAATTTTACAATGTTTTATATCCATAGGTTCGTGGGACATGTGATGATGATGTGAGGGCTGTACAAGTTCCTGAAGTGGCTAGCTCCTTAAGATCTGACGATGTATTTGTCTTGGAAACTCCTACTGATACATACTTATGGATTGGGAAAGTAAGTAATGAATAATCAATATCATTTGGATACATGTACCAACAATGGAATTGTATTAAATTCAAATTCGTTAATATTTGCTCTCTTGGCCCTTAATTTTCACTTGTTGCTCTCTTTCAGTCAATTGTGAAATATTAGGGAATAACTAATTTAAAAATTTTCTGACATTGTGAGTCAGGCTAAAACAGGTATATTTGCACCTCAGAGTTAGAGAGTCGCAACTCTATTCTCTGTGAATTTGATATTTTCATAAAATTATAATCGCTAGAAAGAAATCTCTTAGCTGGTATATAGTAATAACTCCAATCTTCATTTTGATGCATTTAAACTTATAAAAAAACCATAACTTTAATATTGCAGTTAAGGTTTTAGTTAGTTTCACTTTCCTCCTGTAAAGTATGAAAGTAGCAAGTTAACTCATGAGTTCTGAGGCACAAATGATACTTTCTGTCCTAAAGCTTCAAATCTAATGAAAAACTTTCATTGTTTCCAAATAATCACACTTTTAACAATTAAAAAAAAGTATTATTAATAATCATAAATAATATGCTTGTTAAAATCCTCAAGTAAGAAAGCTTTATTAAAATTTATTGTGCTTCGATAAAAAATATGAAGCATTTTAAAATATAGTAATTGCACAGCCAAGAAGTAAATTTTATTGTGTGAAAATTTGACAACAATCTTAAGATAATGTTTTCCCCTGTCTTTTTAACTTGAAAGATTTGCAAAAACCATTGACTGTGTAATCTAGAATCCATTATTTTTAATAGAGTACTGTTAGGAAAACTGTATGTCTGGAATCTTAAAAAATGATATTAGGTCTGCAGACATGGAGAAAAAGTGCAATTTTCAGTTTTTTGCTAACTGCTTTATTGAATGAAGTTTCATAATACTCGCATTATAATACTTTTATAGCAAAAAGCAATGTTTGAATATAATGTTTAGCAACATAAATGTTTTGGTCTTGATAAAGACAAATGATGTAAATTTTTGGAAAATTAATCTCCAACTCTGTGCACAATGAAGTCAAACATTTCAAACTGGATGTGAATAAATTTTGAAGCAATTTATCTTTTTCAAATTAAGGAATAATGAGGAGAGGCAAAAAAGCTTTTTCAAGTTCACAAATACTACTTTGACTACTGGTGGATTTCATAGAAAAATTGTCCACAGGGAGCTAACGAAGAAGAAAAGAACTTTGCTCAGAAGGCTGCTGGTCTAGTCTCTCCTGATCATGATGCAAAACTTATAAATGAAAGTGAAGAGCCTGCTGAATTTTGGACAGCTTTAGGAGGTCAAGGATCTTACAAGACTGACATTGAAACTGAAGGTGCTCCACTCCTTGGACCTCGTCTTTTCCATTGCAAAATATTCTCATCAGGCAAACTTTCTGTGGAGGAAATTGCAGATTTCAAACAGGATGTAAGTTTATCATTAACTATAAATTATTTTCTATAATTAAGGCACAGTTTTTTTTTTTTGATTTTTTTTAATGTTGTTGTGTCTTTGAGTTTAGGATCTAGACGAAGATGATATCATGGTGCTAGACTCTGGAGATGAAGTTTATGTATGGGTAGGAGACAAATCTACTACTGAAGAACGGAAACTTGGCTTAAAGATGGCACAGGTAATTGGTGTAACTGTCATTACTGAATGACGATGACTCTCAGAGCAAATTAAATAAATTTTTTGTTTCAATTTCCAGGAATATCTTAAATCTGACCCAACTGATCGCAATCATGATTTGAATGTTATTTTTACCATAAAACAAGCTGAAGAACCAGACAGTTTCAAGACCCTCTTCCCATCCTGGAGCAACAGCTTGTGGGAGGTACGTCAAGCTTGACTTCCACGATCTTTCACTGCATTCTACATGACTTGCTGATGAAGAATTGATGTCATCTGTGTGTATCTTAACTTCTGGATAATCTCTTGCTGTGCTTCTTCTTGTTAACATCCTACTGAATCTACCTCGCTTCCTTTTATTAAAGTTTACTAAACTCAGAAAATTTCTTTAAAATATTTTTATGTAAATACTATTCTGGTTTTCATTAGAAATAAACAATGTTAATAGTTACTGTTTATTTCAATATATTTTGGGCTATGTCTCATTTGCTGAGGCCAACTGCATAGGATTCCAATTTATCAAAATGGTTTTAATGGAAATTTTTGTTATTACTTATTTACTCACTAAATTATAACAGCACACTGCTCTGAATTTAATATTAAAACATTTTTGAGCTACTGTATAAATTTCTTTATGGAAAATATTAAAATTAATTTAAGTTACAATAACATCTCAATGACTTAATGTACATTCTAAGCCTTGTCTTGATATATGTGACTAGAATGTGTTTAAAATAATTAGTGTTAATTAATATTCCGACTCCTTTTTGAACAAATGTAAGCCTCTTTTGAAAATGATTTTTGTGGGTTGAGAATGAATGTTAAGTGTCCTTGTAGATAGAACAACTTTGTAAGAAACATTTAATCTGTTTGTTTTTACCCCTGCATTTGGTTTTACTGATGCTTTTTAAATGTTGTTTTCAACCTGTTGAATTGCAGATTTAACAATTTAATAATAACTTTCTTTCTATTGCATTCTTCAAATAATGCAAAAATAGTACAAGAACAAAGAATATTCTATAATAGTGAGTGACTTTGCATTCTACTAAATTATAAACACTGACTCTTATTCTTAGGAAACAAAATACAATTTTAAAAGTTAAACAAAAGTTGGTCATGAAACACTTATTCACAAAGTGAAAATGCAAAATTAAGACAACTCGTTGGTTTGCAGACAATTAACAAGGTGCAAAATAATGGCATTTTTAAATGTCAGTATTTTCTGTGATTAATTTCTTATACAGTCCTAATAAGTATTTAATAGTACAAATTGAAAGGCACAAATTACCTATGGATTAATATTTAAGAATAACTTTAAAATTTGTACATAACTGTCAATGTTTAAATGTCTTGTCGGTATACAAGTGAAACTCGCTAAGTAAATCTTTCATGTTTTTTGACTTCTTCACATTGGTAAGTAAAATTATTTTCGTTAGTGCAAAAAAGTTTGGGTGAAAAAAAAAAAAATCTCTACCATTTCCTTTTTTAATTGTCGGCAGTGACACAGCACAATTCAGAAGAAATTTATCTTTGATCATGCTTTCTTTCATTTTTTAAAAAAAATTCATAATAAAGGGTGCTTAAAAAATAAACCCAAGTTTTATCACCTATCTAGCATAATATGAGTAGAAGCACAACAAATTTCATAGAACTTTGAATCTGATGTTTCACAAAACATGGTTTTTGGACTTAGTGAATTTCAATTGTATACCGACAATCTAGTGTAAATAATGTATGTTGAAGATAACAGGAAGAAATTACCAAATGGATTTTGAACTGGCAGAAACATTGCATAAATTTGAAATATTCTTGATAACACAGCAGGGAAGAGGAGCACCCAAGTTTTCTGGAATGTTTATTGTACCTACAATGACTAGAATATTGTAAGAATTCATGTATTATGAATCAAAAAGTAGATTAATTGTTCCAAATCTTGTCAAGTTTCTAATACTAATAATAATTTTTGGGAGAGTCCCCTTCAAAATGATATCATCCTGAAGAGACTAATTCTTAAAGAGGATGTTTCGTACAGTATGAATAAGATCCAGGTAGTTAAAATATATTTAAAAAATGTTAAATATATTAAGGGGAACTTAAATTTCTTTCTTGAATTATTTTATTATAGCAGTTTAAATATGATTCAAAATGACTGTGGTTTATCAGTTGCCAAATTAGCACATGCTTCCCTGTCTCCCCATTTCTATACATTTTCTTACTTTCCTCCCCCTCCTAGATTGTTTCATTTCTTACTGAATGGTAATTGATGTATTCTTCTGAATTCTCCCTGCAAATTTTAAACTAGCAATCGGAAAAGTTTAACTTTCTCTAAAATATTGCTGGAACAAATCTGTATAGAAAATAGTTTCAACTTCCAGTTCAAAATCTGTTATTATATGAAAACATGTTTTCCCATGCCCTAATTTTCATTTTCTGTATAAAATCTGTCAATTGACTTATTCTATACATAGGACTACAACATTTAAAACAAACATTTATACTTGTATTATTTCAGTCTTTGCCATCTTATGAAGATTTGAAGAATCAGTTAGCTGAAACAAATGCTACAATTGAAGACTGAACATTAATACAATTTGCATAATTAATAATTTGTAGATTTTTACCAGTATTGGTAAATTAATAGTACATAAAAAGCAACAATGTAACAACAAAAGTAACATAAAAAGCAGTATCATAAATAGACATTTCTAGCATATAAGGATTGAGAAAGGACTGTATCTTTGACTTGTCACTGCACTGAAAAAATGTGCTTTACAATAAAATTATATTATTTCTTAACTATTGTTTAATTCCTTTGCCAAATATTTATTCTCTGAATAAAAGGGCTCAACATATTTCACAAATTTACCATCCTGTTGAACAGTTCACAAGATGTACATCAATTAAATATCATTAATACATTAAATATGGTAAATATTAATTTTTGTTGGGTGTCAGAAACTGCAGGTCTTGTAGACTAGATCTTGTAGACAGATTAGACATATCTTTCAATACCTAATTACCAAATGTAACACATTTTTATTCTTATATTAGAGATCCCTCTTAAGTGAGTATCTAAAAAAAATGAGTAATCACTTTTGAATCCATTTTTATACGTGGAGGTTTTAATACTGATTTTCTGAGCGAATCTTACGCAATTTCTCAATTTACTTCGTTTTTTTAAATTTAGATATTACAGTAAATGTAGTCTTCAATACAGAAAAAAAACCTATGAAATTTCACCTTTCCTACAGACGAGACAAACTTGGACACCCCTCGATCCATGCAAGAGGCGCGTTGACCAATCGCGAGCAGTTAGAACCCTAGTGTGAATAGAATTGGCGCAAAATCCTACGGGGCAAGAAAGAATGTACGAGGTCTGATTTTTCAACCTCCGATAGCTCATAAAAACAAGACATGTAATATATCAATATATAATATAGCAAAATTAATTTATTACCACATATTATGGGCAAATATGATAATCATCGTGAAGATTCAGGCCTATGTCATATCTGTGAACGAGCTTTCCAATCTCCTCTGCATAAAATGTTGCCGCCAGCGAGTTGAGATGGTCCTTGGAAATGTTTTGAAGTTTCTCTGCCCTACTAGCCACTTTTTCAGTTCAGGAAAGAGATGGAACTCGCTTGATGCTAAATCGGGGCCATTCGCATTCTTTGCACAAATAAAACACTAAAATAAAAAATGGTGTCTCTAGGCACTTGGTTGAGCGATGGGCGCTTACGTGAGCGCAGAGCACCGATTCGCGACGTAATCAAAGCACTCGTGTCTCACAGTCAGAGTGCAAGGCGACGATCCCAACTTCCGACATTGATATCTTTCCGTGCTAGATGTTCTGGGGAGAGCGCAGTGTAAAGGCATTGTGAATAGGCCTTAAGCCCATCTCTGCCGGGCGTGAGGTGCGTCTTTATTCTGCCCGCTGTTGCTTGAGTTGTGCTCCACGCGAACTACATCATTTCCTCGAGCTCAATCCCGTAAAGATGCCGAAGTCCTTCACACAGTATGAGTCATTATTAGTCTATTCTTTCATGTTATATTGTTTTATGTTATTGGCTTATTTTAGATGCAAGTGCGGTGAGATATATTTCTGTTTTTTGTTGTTTTTTCGCCAATTATGAGTTTTTAAAACCTACTTCGGCGCTTATTAAAATTGTACCTTTTTAGGCGCCTAAAACGTAAGTTTTTAGTGCCTTAACATCCGATGTCTAGTCATGAACCAAAATAACTCCAGAGGTCATCATGCCTCTTCTTTTGTTTTGAATGGCTCTCCGTAATCGAAGTCTGACAATAAACCGCTACATCGATTGTAGACCCCGGTTCCATAAATTTAATAAGCAACACTTCCTTTTGGTCCCAAATCACTGTAGCAATAACTTTTCTGTTTCTTTGAACTTTTTCGGTTTGTTTGGTGAGTGTGAGTGCATCCATTGTTGTGTTTTGTTTCGAGGGTGCAATATTGAATCTAGATCTCATATCCAGTCACAATATATATTTTTTTTAATCTTCACCTTCAACCTCATAACGGGTGAGAATATCAGCGCTGATCCCATTTGGCGAACTTTGTGTTCATCAGACATCTTTGGAACCCGTCGAGCGCGCAGTATTTGTAGCGTAGGTGTTCTGTGACGATTGTGTACAGTGTACACAGTGGATCTTGAAACTTCAGGAAATTCTGCACCCAACTCACTCATGGTAAATCTATGTTTTTCGGGAACCATTTTGTCCATTCATTGCAGTGTCTTCTGATGCGACAAATTTGCGTCCTTGTCCTCCTTCATCGTGAACATTGGCTCAGCCTTCTTTAAACTTCCTGCACCATCAGAGGTGGGATTTCGAATCTTTTATTGGGCGGGAGGGGGGCGAAGGGTTCCCCTTCATAAGATGGTAAAAAGTTCACCCAAATCAAATGAAATATGAGTAGTCACATTATAATTCTAACGTAACATAATATTTTTGTTAGATTTCTTAGCCCTTGTCCCACCCCTCTATAGCCGGAAATGTGTTTTTTACACTATTTTTTTCGTAAATTTAACACTATTTTATCAGATTGAACAAAAATATGGGAAATAACGCAATCATTTATACTAACAGAAATCCTTTTTTTGGTATTTTCTCAGCGCGAAATTCAAACGCAGTTTTTGTTATTAACTCCGCAAACTCAGTGTAATTTGTATCAACTTTTACTTCTGCAATTTCTCTATTAATGTTTTTGTAAGCATATATATAAAAACAGTAAAAGACACAGTTTTTGTATGCTTAAGTGAATAAAGTGTTAAGTTTAATAATAATAATAATAATAATAATAATAATAATAATAAGTTGTTAGTCACATTAATTTGAAAATCGGTGTTTGCACGCTTAAAAACGTAACTGTGAGAAGTCGAACGTCATAAGTTAAACGTGCTTTCATTTTGTAGCATTACTCATAGCAGGGGCGGATTCAGCCGACCATTTGGGAGTGGGGGGATAAGTTTACCACAACAAACCACGTTTTGGAAATTTCTTAGAATTTCCTGACCGGATCCGAATACAAATTATCACTTCCTCACCAAGAGACCGAGGCGCGTCGAATGACACCTCATATGCATCGATTTGTGTATGGTAAGTGTCGGATCCGCACACACGTAGTTACTCAAATACTATGTAGGGACTAATTAAATATGGCGTCGCTGATGCGTAACAGTTATAAAAGTATTTTCGTGTGTTGAAAATATGTTATCCATAGCTTTGTTCAAAGTTCTTGCAGTCTCTAGCAATGGACATACCAATGAATCGTAGTATCTAATGTTTTACTCCTGTTCAAAAATGTCCAACCCCCAATGGCCTTGCATGATATATAAATATCATAAATATCACAGGAAATATAATCTGGTAATATTGCAATTTCAAAATTATAAATGCCGTAACAATACTTGCAGGTACGAATGATGCTGGTAGTTAGAATTTAGTACAGCTACATTTTTAACGTTTTTTGCTAATATGCACATAAATCATATGTAAGCTTTTCCTCAACGTGATTCACTAGAAAGATCATTCGCAATTAGTTCCAAAATCTTTTACAACTACATCGGACAATTAACTACAACTACATTGTTCATCGGATTTGCTTAACACTTCCATATTTTTGTCCTCTAATTTTTGAAGAGATTAAAAGTCCACAAATCAGCCTAATTGTCTTCACTTCTTCTTCTGCAACTGCTCTATTTATAGTTTTGGAGGCGAAACTATATAAACATTAAAAGACGACTGTTTTGTATGTTTATATGAATAAGGTGTTAGTTACGTTTTAATAAGAATAAGTTATTACATTCAAATGAAAATTGGTATTTGCATGCTTAAGTATGTAAATGTGAGAACGTAAGAATGTCAGAAGTCTAACCTAAGAATGTAGAAGCTGCACTATTCCCTTCTGCGTGAAGAACTCGAATTACACTGCGCAACGTGCACACGACGGGAGCGTCAACTGTAGCAGCGATGTTAATGTGTCTGCAACTCAGCTGAAATGAAAATGGCGTAAAGAACTTGCTAGTGGGGAAATTGCGCACTCGCCTTCTGCACACCCCGCCTCCTACCACTCGAGTGATTGCAGGCACGAACGGAGGTTGAAAAAAAACAAGCCTTCGTAGAAAGAGGATCGTGATGAACATTCTCAATTAATATTCTTCGAATCTCACCTTCTGGAACTACTGTAAAAACTTTGGATGGATTTTAGAAGTGTGTTACTTCGACATCTCGGCACAACACTCATACACTCCTCTTCTTTGAATTATTCGATGTATCACTTTATCCATCTCTCAAGAAGTAAGCACACTCTCAACAATGCGAGCAGGGGCAGATTTACGAATATGAACAAGGAGGCACATACCTACGGCGGCAAAAATTGTGGACTAAAATAGTGTCTTCGTCGCTATTGTTCGTTATTGTGTGCTATTGTTCTTTTTTATTCGTATTAAATAAGTTTCTTTTGTAACAAAATTGTTAAATACTCGAGAATTAAGAGATTATCAGGCTGATTGTACCTTCTGCTATATGACTTGGGATAAGTCAAAAAGAGTAATGCTGACATTTTCAGAAAGTCATACAATTAAGACTTAATTAGGGGAAGGTCGGGAAAATTGATGATATCGGACAAAAATAGTTTAGGGCAGTGGGCACTGGAAGTAGCACGTGCCACACTTGGAAACGAATTAGCTTCGTAAACGCAATATTGAGCGAGTTGCGAACGTGTTACGTTTCACTTTATTGCTACCGCTTTCGCAATAGAGAGAAAGTTATGTAATGCTGCGAGAAAAGTGGCGCGTTTTCGATAGAAAAACTCTTATCGTCGAGCCCTGGTAACGAAAAGTGGATAAATAGTTGCTAAATTTAGAAAGAAAAAAAAATCTCCAACACGTGGTACAGCAAGAATCCGTGTTTTGTGGGTTCTTGATACCGAAAAATCGACTGATGGCAAAACGTCCGTCTCAGTGTAGGATACTGAGGATTGTAGCGAGTTCTAACTCTAAGATATATTTTTCGATAATACCTAGGGGTTGTGCAACTGAAACATGAGCCGCCACTGTTGGATGGCAAATATATAATTGAGTTTAAGAAACATGGACTGCAACAAGGAATTAATAAATAACTGAATCTGTCATAAAAGGATTTAAGTATTTAACTTTATCTACATATTTTATTTATTTTTGAAGTTAAAATAAATAGCTTCTTAATATTATCAAGAGCATATTGTAAAAAAAATGTAACTTTAAACATAATGCTCAATTGTTATGGAGCACTGTATTTTAATGCACCATTTTCCACGACCTGAAGAAGTGGCCACAATTAGTGCATTTACCCTATTTGTTTTACAATTGGCAATATTTCAGGGCATGTGAATGTTCAAACTGAAGATAGGTATTTAATTTTACGTTTTTGTACATGGACTACACATAAATGTATAAAATCTTTTTGAATCTCAACATTTGCCCGCTGTGTACTTGCGTTGCTAACTAATAAGTTTCTTCAAACATGGTAAGTAAGTTCAGCAACTGCTCTAAACGCGGAATTTCTCTGAACGTTTATACTTTTTTCATTGTATGGAATGGCAATTTGATACGCCATTCTAATTTCTAATATATTTATCCATATTATCCAGTTCTGGCCTTAAGAGGATCCAGTTCTAGCCTTAAGAGCCCTATCACTTCAATTTAAACAAAAAATACCGTTGGTATTAGTTGATTATTCTTTAACCCTTATCTAGGCAACTGGGGTCTATTGGACTCTGAAGAATAATATTCAATATTTTAGGTGAAAACTATTAAAATTGTTATGATAGATTCTTTGCTATGGTGTTTTTTTAACTGTACCTGCAACCATTTAACAAAAGTCACTGAACAATCAATAAAAAATCTTTATCTTTTGTCAGCTAAAACCCGCACAAGTAGGGGTCCATTAGACCCAGGACACTTAACCTGCATGTAATATTGCATATTATGGTTTTGTTTAGTCAATTACTTGACGACCGCTTCATGTCCAAGGAACAGACGGATGTCTGGTTGTGCAACGTCTTTTCATTGGGATGTTATCTGACACTGTGTGAATGACCCTAAGAACAACCCCTTCATAGATAGTGTTGCTGCAGGTTACAGCAGAGTCAGGAAAGTGAGTTTTTGAAGTTGTGTGCGGTTCAGGTATTGTGGGAAAACTGCAGAGCAACAGGTTCAGTCAGGCTGAACCCTGACTGAAAGTTAATAAATTTGCGATTAATAATTGTTGATATTGCAAAGGATTTGGTTTGTACACAATACGAAAGGATACGGTCAAACAGGATTGAACAAGAAGTGTCATATGTCAATCACACATGTTATCGGGGAAGAAGAAGCAGCTTCCACAAGCAGAATATTTATTTATTGAACCCTTGCACTTTCAGTACTGCAGGTTTAACCTGCCCAGATTTAGAGGGTGTTAGGAATCCTCTTCTTTCAGCCGCTTTTCAAACGCCCCCCCCCCTCCCCCCCCAAAAAAGATGACATTTGTGCCCTTGGGAGGAAGTACGAAACAAATAGATGTAACTTCTGTTCAAAACCTGTCTGTAGTCAACACACTTAGGTAAATGGTGTCTGCAATCTATAATTAAAGAAAAATATTTAAAAAATAAATGTACAGTATTTGAAATGGTTTAATAAAATTAAACAATTATATTGGAGCATTCTGTTTCATTATCCACGTCCAAAAACTACATCTGTAAGCATAATTCTGTCGCAGACACTCCTCATTCCACTGGAACCTGCCTGCCCATTTGCATTATTAAAATTGGTTGCACGGAAAAGGGTTAAACAGTTTGTTTTTAACCACACTTTGTATACCAAAACACACTTGATATTTTGCATACTTATTTCTATGGTATTAACACAGAAACAAATGAACAGTGTTGAATAACACCCTTGATGTAACACACGTTTATAACAAGAGACTTAAAAAATGAAATGAGACACAAATTTACTATTGAACTATTACTTTACTTTAAATACACAAATTTAACCATCTATACTAAAGGATATTGTTTTAAGACTTTATTTATTTGCTTAGAAGACAAGTCTTTAGTTCCAGTTTTCAATTCACCCCTCTTTTCTTGTTCGTAAATTATCTTTTTTCCTGCCATAACAGTTTTATGACAATTTTTGAAAGCATTTATTTCCTTGTCACATGAAGTTTGGTTGAAATCATGTTTCTTCAAACATGACAACAATAAACCCAGCTCTTGAAGACAAATATTTTCAGCTTGTCGGTTAGACTTCCCAGACACTGTGTCCTTCAACCTCAAAGGTAATATTTCTACAAATGGAACTGGTTCTTTGGCTGGAGCCCTTCCTGGTCCTTTTAACAAAAAACTTGTTGCACGCATTTTCTAATCTGTCTGCAAAATAAAAGCAAATAATAGGTGTATACAATTGAAGGTCCTTTACCAGTTTTTATTAATTGAATTAGACAAAGTTCTTACACATTGATATCAACTTAATATTCATTTTCTGGACAATGCTTTGAAACTAAATTAGACCTATCAGGTCTCGCAAAACATTATTAAATTCCAGATGACATTGCAGGGTAGCTCCCAACTAACAATTACAATAATAATGATAACAATTTAAACACGACATTTTCCCTATTTCATTATTTAACAATAATTTTTACATAAAACAAATTATTATTTTTTACGTTTTCACATTTTCACATTGAGCTCTCACAGCTTCTCGGCTTATCAGCATTCAACAATATTCTCCACCAAAATCTGGATTGTACCAGAGACAAAGAAATAAATAATACTTCATTTCACAACGCAAGAACTTCGTCTAATTGAAAAAGTAGGCACATTCTACAAAGCTATCTAGTACTAAATAGAGATACATTTCCGAATATTGATATATTGTGACCAAATAGCCTCGCAAAATGTCGAATTTGGAATTCGTGCAGTAATTATAATTAAATAAGCAAACAGCAAAACTGCCATCATGAGCTTACAGCAAAGGATGCAAAACCTTGATTTTAAGCTCAGCCTTTCGAAGTTCTTCCTACTTCCATCCAGGCATCCAGGGCTAGCAAACAACGTGTTAATTCCGGCGACTAGCATTGGTTAGTCCTACCACAGTGCTGCGCTCGAAAGGGCGGCGACCTTACTAAACTAAGCAATGGTGGGGGGAACGAAGACGTAAGATATCTATCAACCAATCAGGTGCGTTAACTACACTTGTGTTTTTATTTCTTGGGCGCGAGGCCTTCGCCATACAATTTCTTACGGTAATTCGCGCCTTTCTTGGTCGTGTCCAACGAGATAGAATATACTACATAGAGTGGCTGAAGAACTCCATCTTTGAAATAAATTAAAGGCATGTTTTTTTGCAGTCAAAGTAGCCCTCTTGGGGAAAAAAATTCTAGCATTATGATTGGTGCTGGTTGCGGACGGGTAGGCGCGAACCGCGCGTAATATAAATTCTCTAATTGTGTGTTCTCACGATCAAAAACCAATCATTTAAAAACGAAATGGCAATATGTTAGGAAAATGAATTGAGAAACTTTAAATACATATTGCTTATTATCATTTTCTTATAGCGATTGTCATAAGAATGGAAGCAATTGAAATGTTATTGTAGTCAGCATAAAGTTTGAAAGTTAATGTTATTGCAATACCATTGTTTATATACCGTTAAACGAAAAACAACAAAGAAATAAGTTGTGATACGAACAACACGTCGATTCAGTGTGGCAGTTGAATACACTGCCACTCTTATGTTTTGACTTAAAAAAAACTTGGCGGTCACTAGTTCGGCGAGCCTCTACCAAGAGCGCTGAAACTATTGGGACCACTCTACGTAGTATAGCTGATTGAGCATTAATACCAACCTCTGCCAAGTAAAGTCAGTCCGCCATATTGGTGCTCATAACACACGTCAAACACGATAAGATATGGGTGGTACACATTTTTCAGTGGAATTTAATAGTCTTCGGATTTTTGAAGAGTATAATAACTAAAACGGAGAAGCTTTATTACAAAGTGAGGTGTCACTGTAAAGTATTTCCAGTAAATGTAAACTAAAATAACCTCAAACTTAAAACGTCAAGAATACAATACTAAATGTCTTCTCCTGCCTTTGAAATTTCTCACATGATCTCTCACAAAAATGTACGCAAATAAATAAAAACTTAACACTCAAAACGATTTGGAGAAGCATGCGAAGAAAACATTGTAACGAAATATTCTTTGAATTAGTGTTGGCACAATATTCGAAGTTTGGTAACCGTATCAACTGTATGATTGTGATCAGTCCGTTATGCCAATTTTTTGCGTATAGTTTAATCATATAACACTTTTTATATGATTTTTGAACTATCGGGGGACCTGGCCGAGGCATGATTGCCAGCACTGCTCGATATTGTCACGATCATGCGACATCTAGATGCACGAGGGAGAAGACGCGAAATACGGTGATATTCCATCGTGAAGAATGACCCTCACGATCCAAAATATAGCAACCCAAGTGTAATTGAGGATTTTTCTTCTACTCCGGTGCTCAATGCCTACACCAGGGCTTGGAAACGCGATGCGTTGATCAAGCAGCTTAATATATTATATACAACGAGCTAGAGATAACTCGAACTCCTTGATTATATATAAACAACTGGGACCTGTGCAAGGAGATTGTAATATGTTCTAACCTCCTTGGATCAGTGAGCTGTGGGTGTAGTACAGTGTAGTAAGCCGTGAAGAGTATATTCAATGACTGTGACCAACACAACTGTGACAAAGCGTCAACTTAAACAAATCATTAATACAGTTGGTGTCGAATATGCTGATTACGGTTGGTCTGTTTTGGAGAGTATGCGTCTGTAGTAGTGTCAGATAGTGGCAATTTGTCTGCAGTAAGGAGAAACAACCAGTTTTCAGTACAGACCAGGACGGGAACAAGTTGAAGAACAGTGACACAGTGTATGGAACTTAAGTTGAGGTGAAAACGGGTTGCTGTGGTTCAGCTGGTTTATTTTTCCCCCGGCCGATTGGAACGATTTGAACAGGCTGGTTTGACCCATTCAGGGGAAAGTATGAGGGATTCTGTTAATTTATAGTTCTTGTAGTTTTGAAATCAATGCTCCCACTTTCAAAGTTAAAATTTTGATCAAAGGAATTTATGAATTTATTGTTATTGTTGAATATTGTAGATTATGTAAAAATGTCATTGATTAATGTGAATTAGGTTGTTAGGTACTTTTGAGTTATTCTATTGTACGAGTTTGAATTGAAGAAGGGAGAAGTACTTAGAACAAATTTCCAGTTTCTGCAAATTTGTTTAATAATGTATTGTGTTGTAACAATCAAATATGCAGGTTAAGTGAATTGAATATGTCACGTCTAGGCTCTCCATACTCAATGGGGTATACTCACGATGAATATGATTTTGAAGATGACAATGAAGAAGACTTGGATGATGAGCGTGAAAATGATGATCAGGATGAAAGTGATGAAGGTTAGTTTTCTGGTTTAAAGTGTGGGTCTTAATTCTATGTGTGTTTCAATGATATCTCTACTTCAATCAGATACGGAGGAAGCAAGTGAAACTGACATGGGGAAATCTGAAGAATACACAGAAATCAAGGAGCAGTAAGTTATCTTTATCTAGTATGAACTATTAATGTTTCTCATTAGAAGAGTATGATATAATCTCATCTGAATTTTATGAAACAGCTGATCAACCAATTTGTTGTCTACTTTAATCTTTCAATTTGTTAGTACTGAAGGTAATTGTAAGACTGACAAAGAGAGCTGTTTGTAAAAATAAATTCTTATGATATTGTTGTAATCTTCATATTATTAAATATTTAACTTAATTCAATCAAATTTTTTACTCATTTGTTTATGTTTATGCTTTCAATGAGTTAATATTATTGTGTTGTAGAATAGAAATAGCTAATGCATTTTACTAGTGTTTTAGCTACTTCACTATTAAAGTAAAGAAAAACATCGATGTTTACATGAATGAATTTAACTCTAGCAATGATAAATAATAACTACAAAAAGGATATGATAGAAATGTTTATGAATAAAATGAGTTCACTGTGAAGTTTCCAGAAATTAAAATTAAATGGTTTGTTAAATTTTTAACATACAATTGTGTTGTAGAATGTATCAAGATAAGCTTGCGAACTTGAAAAAGCAATTGCAGCAGTTAAAAGATGGATCTCATCCTGAATACAACCGTAAACTTAAGAAGTTAGATATACAGTATAAGGAAAGGTAAGGTCAATTGAATTGTATTTTTTAAGTAGTGCTAGATGTTGTACAAATGTATTTTTGCCATTGAATCAGCATTATTTAGCAATAGCTTTTAACATTGTGTGTTTTGTGTAAAGTTTAACATTTTCATAATTTTTTAAACTTCATAATCTACTGTATGTGGCACGTTTGTTTCTTGATCGTGACCGAATTTGCGAGGAGGCAGTATCAGAAGTTGACCCTTTGAATTTTCCTGTATTGGTAAAAATGTCCATGCGTGTTTATAATCCTCAAGGAAAAACTTGAATGAAAGAAAACTCTTGATTTTCTTTGGGATGTAGGCTAATGCTTGAATATGCCCTAGAATGTGCATTTCTTCTGCTTTTCATTCAATTTTGAGATGGATAGGATTGAAATATTGGAAATTGTCATTTGAAGGTTGTGGAGAGTCTCAATTATGGTTGCATATTAAATTTATGGTTATTTCCAGTACTTATTGTAAAGATGGAAATGGTAAGCAACATGATTATCACAGACCTAGTTCATTGTAATCAGTAATGATAACATTGCTACTTCTGGAAGAATTCTGAAAATATATAAATAAAGCTTGTTTTCTCAAAATGTAGCTGAAACAATTTAACTTTACATACATTGCAGGTTGCGACTGAATATAATTTCTCGAGATTATTATATTGAATGTGTTGAACGAGATTATGTCCTTGAGAAGAAAGCAGCAGCAAAAGAATTTGAAGAAAAGAAAGTGGAATTACGTGAAACTCTTATTTCAGATATGGAAGAGAAAAGAAAAATGATTGAATCTGAACGTCATACAATGGAACTTACTGGTGATTCTATGGAGGTATATAGGGTTTGTCATTTATTTTTATATATTGAGCCATGATAGCATTTACGTTGAATAATACTTTGAAAATTGTAACTTGTGCTGTAATATCCATTGTAAAAAAAATTCCTTTTTATATATATTCCCTAACAATGCAAAATCATTGGTTGTGGGTCATGTGGTCTAATGTTGAAGAATGCCCCACTTGAACACCATGGATTTTGATGAAATTATTTAAGCCAAGACATGCATGTCTCAAACTAACTTTTGTGAAGTTGTAGTCTCATAAGTGAAATAGTTCTTGAGATATTGTGATTTGTTTGACTCCATGCAGTGTTTTTATACAGCATGACTTAAGATTTTTGCATCTTTGGGATACAATGTCTTCATCTCCATTATTGCTGAATGCATGAAACTGAGCTTCCTGGACAACTTTTTCTGCTCTATTCAATGAAAATTATATCAGTTGTGTCAATAATATATAGTAGGTAAATTGCAGAAAATTTGCCAAAAATATTGGTGTTAAAAAACACCCTTGAGAACATTTCCCTTTTCTTTGATGTCTCATTTTGATATGTAAAGGGGTGGCAAGTTATTATTGTGATTGGTGTTGTAGGTAAAACCTGTTATGACCCGCAAGTTGCGACGTCGACCAAATGATCCAGTTCCTGTTCCAGAAAAGAGAAGAAAGCCACCTCCAGCTCAGCTTAATTATTTACTTGATGAAAAGGAGATTGAAGGAGATTTAAAACACATTGCACGAGGCAAGATTTTGGGCCCCACCAGGAAACCGGGTGGGAAAATAACATTTTTCTGTATAAATAGTTCTTTCGTTATTTGAATTTCCTTAATTTGTCGACCACTGCCTTATTTTGGTAACTTTAACTCCCGTTAGGAAAGTTTTTATGGAAAATAAATTCCACTTAGACGTAAGGGGTTTGAATGAAGCTGTGCCAAAATTTTTTTTCATCCATATTTCTATTATGATTTTACATCCTTTCTGAAAGATTTTGTGCTGTCTCTGTTGTATCAAAAAAGGAAGATAATTCCACTCAAAAAAGTGTTCAAGCAACTTTTCCAAGTTGCTTACTTGAATAAGAAATTTAAAAACTTTTGCAATCAAAATTCCTTTGCTTTTCTGGATCTCCGTTGAATTGATGCGATATTAGGTGATCCCCCCCCTTTTTTTTTTAATGAGTATATAGCATAGTTTGATAAAAAATTAAACAATTGTGTCATATATATTCCTTTGGACTTTGGCCCTTGAAACCATTGTGCTTTGAGTTTCTAAATGTAATTGTAGTTAATTAGTTCTCCATTGCAATTAATTGTGACATTAGTAATGATGTTGGGAAATTAAGCATCATTGAATTATTATTATTATTATTATTATTATTATTATTATTATTAAGTGTTTTGTGAACATGTTCAGTAGACTTGACCAAAACTTAAAATTTCGTCTGTTTACATATACTTTGGAAAGGGTGATAAAGTACAATATTACAGTACTGTAGTATGAAAACTTTTTTATAGATGTAATTAAACCCAAAAGTCGGGAAGAACATGGGTAACTTCCATTCTCTTTTACAACTATCGTTTTTTATAGTAGTATTTTATAGCATATTTTTTATTGGTACTTGTATTTGAAATGTGTTTTAATTTTTCACTTTGTGTTTATCTTCTAGCTTTGGTGCCAAACTCCAGTACTACTTCTGCAACTGGTCCACCTCCCCCAGAAACTAATTCGTTGCCTGAAACAAGAATTGAAGATGGGAAACTCCTCTATGAAAGAAGATGGTATGTATGTTATTAGATCATTTTTTCATTTTTACACAATTAAAATATTTTCTGTTTTCATTTATTTTTCTTATCATTTAGAGTATTTGTATTCAGCAAAATACCAGAACAACAAAATTGTGGGAACCTCAGTGTGCCAGTAATTATTTTGTTATAGTGTCATTTGGTTGTGTTAAATGCTAATTCTTAAGAACATTTATTTTATAATAGCCTTTGTCAAATTACATTACTTCAAGAATTTACAAATTCAAAAACCTTAATATTTATTAGATGAGAGGAATGTATAAAAAATTATTTCTAGTAATTTTAGGGTTGTCATAATTGTTCAACATATTTTTAAAATTAAAATTTAAAAATATTTTTTGAATTAATTTTTTTAAGGTTTCTGGGTTTTTGATCATTATGTTTGGAAATAGAACAGTACAACTGATATATGAAATTGTAATGTCCATTGGTGGTTTGCGCTCCTACCCAAATAGTAGCATGACTTCTTGCATGGCTCCTACCCAAATGGGAAGTGATATCTGTTGTAGAATTGTGTGAGTTATGACTAGATTTTGATATTTTAGGCACAAAACAGTGGTGATTTAGGCACCTAAAATAGGTAACAAAATAATGAGAGGCAATATTGGGCATGAAATATGACATTTTAGACACTTAAAATAGGTTAAAACATCCTTCCTCTTTACACCATGTGATGCAGCTGATACAACACAGGAACGGGGACACACACACTTGCCCAGAAGAATACTCAAAATTATCCATTTCCTATCTGTGGGTTCAAGACTTGGGTCATATTTCATAAGCATCGCCTTTCCAACAGAGTTTCCTGTGCCTTACCTTGCCTGGATAGACACAGCAATAAGCCTCAATGTGTCAACACGCAGCTGCCCTGGGAATGGGAGCAATTGCCTAAGCAGTGTGTGCTGAAGCATGTGGAACGTCTATATTGACTTTCAGAGCTCAGAGTTATACGGGATGCAATTTCGGTTCATAGTCAATTGCATATTAAATGAGGGAATATTTGTGTTTTGGTAAAATAAAATTTAAAAGATTAGTAATTGAAATATGGTAATTCTTCAAAAATGTTATGTTTCAGCCAGTTTTGGGAAAAAAAATATTAAAATTCACTCCTATCTTTAGGACATTTTAGGTATTATTAGATGTTGTCAGTAGTTCTATTTGTCTCACGATTCATAAACATCCATCATGCAATTATTTTCCACAATTTCCTAAAGAAACTAAATAGGCATTTGTCCTAAAATCCGTGGTGTAGTTATAACACTATGTATAAAATATATATATTTATTGTAAACCGTCATGATTGAGTTATATTATTTTTATAAGTTGAAAACTTCCCCAAAAGACAAATTTTTAATAGGTAATACTGAAAGTTTGAATTTTACTAATTTCAATGGAACTCTGTTTATACATTCTGCATTCATACATTTCTCACATTTAAACATTATTTTCTGTAAGTCCTGAATAAATTCCTATACTTGCCAAGCTAAATAATTTCAGATAGAAGTTTTATGTTTATTTGTTTTTCATGCTTACATGTTCATAATGAAAGTTTTAGAACATTTAACATCCAAAATGACATAGGTGACCAAAAAGTGAGAATATTTACGTTGTTGTAGAGGAACACATAGATTTTTTTGTGTTCAATTTTCTGTATTCAGGTTTAATTTCGTTGCTATGCAGGGTGTTTCATCTGGTTTCAACTCTCCGTTTTGGTGTTTTGGACAAAACTACAGGATTAACATTAAGATTAACATTATATCTTATGCGAAACGACACAGGAACGCTTTTGCCAATGCGCGCCCCCTAGCAATCGTCACACATTGAGAACTAGAAAATGCATGTTATCATGACAGGTTGCAGCTTGAGCTGTGAGCATAATGCATGTAGCCAGGACCTATCATGTGCCGTTTCGTTTAAAATACAGAGCATGCCTATGCCTGTCCGCTGTATCTTGTAAGTATCACGTAATGTACTTCAGCCGCCAGATCAATGGCTGGTACTTCCAACTTCCGGTCTCAATCAGCTTTTTGCCCAGTTTCTGTGAACCATTGAACAAATGTTGAGATGGCCCCTTGTTTTGCTTCTGGACATAAATGTACCTTCACCTTTTGTTAGTGGTGGTAGGAGTAGTGATGGGAAAGGGTTACTATTTTGTTAGCAATACAAAAATTAAATTAAATCTGCAGTTTGTTTACTGATGCTAATAAGTTTTCTATAACTTGTGAGCAAAAATATTTAGTTTTTAAAAGTTGCTGACTTTGCTTTTTTTGATATTTTTTTATCATTCCACTATTTATAGTTATATGTTGGTAAGAGATTCTGGAGGTCAAGAAAACATGAGCAGATGGTATTTCTCCCCCATATGTCATAACTCAATAACAATACAGGAGGAATCTGTAATGTATTCATCTGCAGATCATGTAACAAAAATTGTTTATATTAAATTATTTGTATAATTAATTGTTTGTATTACAATTCATAGAATGAAAACAGTACAGAAAGTTGAATAAAGTACTTACAAATTAGAAACTTTTTCTGCAAACTTTCTGTTTGAGAGTGGATTGTGATACTTCTTGTAGGAATGTCAATAATCCACCAAAAGGTTTGATCTTCCGTCATATCGTCTTTCCATAGCCGTGATATTTTGGTGAAGTCACTTCCCATTTTTGTCACTCTCATATCCAAGATAAGGTCGGACGAAATTGAAATGGGAATAAAGGAAATGTAATATCTGAGACATGCTGCGCCCCATAGCCTTGTCCAGCATGTGTTAAGTTAGTTCCCTGTAATTTTCAGACATTATGTTTTGCTAGACATATTCGTATATATATCTTTCAATGCAAGCCAAGACATTTTTTCAGTATCTGACAACAACTGTTCAAAGGTAATATCTTTCATCAACTCGCAGATCTGCGGCCAAATGAAAACTCCTTCATTAATTTTTCAGTACTAATAGCAGGAAATTTAGATAGTATAAATTAAAAACCCTGGCCACTGGTTTCACAAAATTCTTCATAAAGCCCAATTTTAGGTGAAGTGGTGGTAACATCACAGTCTTTGTCAATTAAGGATTCATGTGACACTTTTTTTTTTTACCAGGATTGAAAATTTCTCTCAATGATCACTTTTTGCGTACCTAAAGTTCTTTTCTTGCCCTACTATCCCAATGGCACAAGAAAGAGCAATATTTTATGTAAGCAGTCTGCATTCCTAGAAGTCCCAGCACTCTGAGATAAACATAGATTTTCCGTGATTCGAATAGCCAGTATACTTTAGGAGTAGCTTCATGTTCTCTTAGATTTCCTTTAACTGAACAGACAGGACCACTAGTACTGAAGGTTTCTTGTTTTCGCTATGAGAAAGAATGGCTTAGAGACTACCAATTGAGGAATCTGTAAATAGGTGCAATTCTTTCCAAACGTGAATCATCCAAATAATGAACAATGCAGTAGGATTTTTGACACTGGCTAGATGTAGTTTTGCCAAAGTCTGTAGGAAAATTCTAACATCCGGCTGCCGTGGACCCAGTTATGCTTCGCTCTTGCAATGTTCGCTATTGGTCACGTGATTTTTAATCACGTTTTATGCTACGCTCTGGCAAAAATTAATAGACGAAGGACTTTCTCATAGGTATGGATTTGTTCTGTGGATTGATTTGGACATGGCTTGGTGTCCTGGTTTGGACATGGTTGTCATGTATCCTATTGTTAAAACTGTTTTCCCTCAAGTTTGGGCATGCATTCACTATGGCTCTGTCATAGAGAAATATCATTTACTCCAAGTTAATGTTCAAGTAATAATTCCGGTCTATATTTTACAATCGCAGGGGCAGAAAATGCAGCAAAAACACGCTTAATACTTGAGGGTGCGGCGGGTTGTGTAGAGCTTCTGTTTAGACATGCTTGAGTAAGTATAAACGCGTAAAATGATCATCATCGCCCGTCTATGTGCAACAGACATACACATATTCCTGTTGTATTATGCATATGAATGGTTTATTTCAGAAACAACATAAGTCTGCGAAGAGGAAATTTTCAGTTTCAACAAAGCTCTGACAGCAGCTACCAGTCAGAAACAGTATGTCAAGTCTTCAGAAAGTCTGTTCCAAAATCCCCTCCAGAATCATTTCACTTATGCTAGATCTTTCACAAGTAATACATATACTTACAGAGAATGTGACTGTGCTAAGAAGTCAAAATAACAACAACAAAAAACTGATTTATATCGTTTCTGAAATAAACTATTCATACATTTTTTGTGCAAGTGCAAGCAATAAGTTTACAAAGTTTTTGTCATAATCAGATGAACAATATGCATAAAAAAGCAGCGCATAAAATATGAACAAACATAGATTTTTTTTTATTTATTAGATAATTATTAATGCTTTTTCATGTTACTACTTAAGAACGGAATGTATTATAATCGTGTGCCGGCAATCAGGGATTTCTCTATAGAGAAACTCTTAATGGCAGGCCCTGATAAAGAAAAGTGGCCAAGTCGTGAAATAGTTGTAAATAACACAATAATTCTAGCACGTTGTGTAGTCAGAAGCCATGTTTTGTGGACTCCTTGATACCGAAAAATAAATTAATGGCAAACCAGGTCTTGTCTGTCTATGGCCAAAGTTTGTGCCTAAACCATTCAAATGATTTATTCCAATAATATTTCCCAATTGATCTAAGCCAACTCGAGCCTGCATGTGTTTGAAATGGATAATTTTGTTTCGGGAGTACATGAGACCTCATCAATTTCAAAATTAATTTTCACATTAATAGTTCCAAATTGTGTAATCTTTATCCTCGGATTGCATATAGGGTGCTTGAGAAATGGAGGTTGATTTTGGTTTAAATCCCTCATTCTTTTAAATTAAAAGGTAAAAAGTTTTCTGTATTTTCATACAACTACAATATTGAAGACAGATTTTTCCCTAATGGAATCTCTTGTTTAAAATCAGATCTTCAAATAATGTCAGTAGCAAAATTAGGCAATTTTTAAACAATTACATTTTCAAAAACTGCTCCAAATTTTTCTTTATATTTTCTCCACATATGTAACAAAGAATGGTAAAATAATCTGTACTTGCTGCATTTTCAGCTGTGTCTCTGCTTTCAAAATGTGCAAAAGTACGATAATGAAGATGGAGATTTTAGTCTTCTATGAAGTATTCTAAAATATCAGGTCTTTTTAAAAGGTCATGTACAGTGTTTTGGGAAAATGAGTAGATTTTGTGTAAGTTTGGGTTAAAGCTAATGCAATTTATAAAACATTTTAATTTTCTTCCACAGATAGAGGAAAGACTGCTTAAAGTCTCATTTTCATTTAACTCTCAGCGTTTTCAAAAAATTGCAAAAGTTAGAAACAATGCAGAAAGTATGTGCTGATGTGAAAAGTTTTCACTAGTTGTGAAAAAGTATAAAATGAAGTAACAATCTGAAGTAATTGGCTTTACTTCACAAAGTACATAACATACAAGAAAAGGCGTTGAAATACATAGTTTTAACTTGGTAGAAACTGGAATTTTAATATGTAGCTGACAGACCACAGGTGTATGGTTATCTCCACAATCATTATAAGTTTTAGTATTTTTTACCATTTGCTCCACTTGCCTTTGATCAATTTGGTACAACTTAGTTATTCCATTCATTCTGGTTGTTGCGTACATCCATTAATGGAATACAGAGTGGTTTTTTGGCACCCTTTTAGAAAATCACAAAAGGAGTACTTGAATAGAGTACAGAGAAGAATGTGTAAACTTACTTTCCAAAACAAAAAGAAGAAAGTAGAATGAGAGACTAGAAATCAAGAGGGTTAAGACTAAGACTCTACCCTGTACCAAGCATATGCCAGTTATCCAGATTGGAAAGAAATCTACTTCCAACTTGGTACACCCACGTACTTTAGTAGAGGGGATCACAAGCACAAAATTTAGTTCAGGCCACAGAGAACAGATGTTAGAAAATTTTCCTTTACAAATAGAACAATAACGGACTGGAATACGTTGCCTGCGACAACCTTCAAACCCTTTCCTCTAGGTGTTCAAAGATTTAAAAATAAATAATTAACTAATAAAATTTGTAAATTGTATTAATTAGTACGTTAGGCTTATTAAAATATTTATTATATTATTATTATGATTCTTATCATTATTATTATTATTATTATTATTATGTTACTATTAGTATTGTGATATTTACTATTGAATTCAATGCTTTATTAAATATATAATTATATTCAAAGTAGTATTTGTATTAAAGTGTGGTGACGTGATCTGAAGTGTAGTGCAATGGAGAAGGAGAAAGAAAAGTGCAAGTGCAAGTGCAAGTGCAAGTGCAAGTGCAAGTGCAAGTGCAAGTGCAAGAGTGGAGTGGAATTAAAATGCCATGGTTTAAAATATTGGTACAAAACAGACATAAAAAGTAGAGTGAATGATGTTATTGCCTTTATTGTTATTATATTAATGTTATTATTGTTATTGTCTTGAAATAATTCAAAATTGCATTGTATTAATTTTCCTAATTGTAATACTTAAATTGTAGTGTTCTGCCACCAGGTTGCATAAACGTATCTGCAGAAATATTAAATATCTATCTATTGATTAATGTACTTGTACACCTTGGCAGAGAGTGAGTGATGAGAACTTTATTATTCCTGTTTTGATGTTCCAAATAATTCCTTACGCAGCCATGATTTGAGACAATCGTTTTCTGGAACTTGGAATTCAATCCTTTAACTTTATCATTTGAAAATCATTTTCCACAAGATGAATTACATTCTCTTCTTTTGACATAAAATTGACTGTTCAGAATTTTTCAGATGTAATGAATTGTCTTTTTACCTTAGTAAACCAGTCAATTACAAACAATTTGTTTTGAAAATAAATAGTTAACATCCCAAGTTTTCAAGGAGCTGCAATGATGCTTCAAGCTTTGTTCTTCATTGTAATTTCATTTGTTTGATTGTAAATTTTACAGCACTATAAAAGATGTGAATGATTGATTTATTGCTACAAAATTTTTTGAACAAGGTAGATCTTCGGTGCTCTAAAAATGTTCTGCAACTTAGTGTAAGTAGTAATAGAAATAGTATTAGCTTCTGTAGAAACAGATCATCAATAGTTCATGATAATTCTGTTCATGTCTCCAGCAGTCCTGATGTCAGGCGTTCTGCGGCAAGTTTCTCAATTTAAAGATTTTACTGTCATCCTTTTTTACTTAATTATAGTCACTTATCAACTACTAAGGTCATTCAGTGACCACGATATGTAACATTAGGGGTAACAGTAATGGTATATGGACCCACAAGCATCCTTGCCTCAGAATGGGATTTGAACTCCCAATCTTTCAGGCATGACACAGCTATGGTTCTTCTGCTGTAGCAATCTCGCCTATCCGGGTCGGCACTGTCCTCTTTGATTTCTAACTTCCTGTCAATATTCTTATTAATTACATAGTTTATATAAGTTCCAAACTATTAGGATTTGTAAAAGTGAAGGTCTGACTTACAAAACATGGGACATCAGAAAATTTAGGGTAACTTCTAAATACTAAGTATAATTTTTCTTGACTAGTTCATGCATTATGAAAATCTTCTATACAATAATCACATTATGATGTTTTATACTATTTTTGAACACCGGTATTCCGAACTAATTATGAGGGAGGTGATATATTGGGATTATCCTAAAAAAAATTACCGTACATATACAAATACATATATAGGATTTCCAATGCAATGTGTGCGATGCAAGAAAATGGCAACGTAGCGTAGTTACACGCGGAAGTGGCAACGTTGTGAACAATGGAGTAAATTCCGCGCACGTTTTCTTGAGCCCTCGCTTCGCTTGTTCCGAGAGGAGTGGGGAGTTTGGTTATTTTGACAAAATTTTATATCTAATTTGTACTTCAGTTTCAATTCAAAATAGTTTCTGAGAGCGAACATTTCTGGCTATCAGATTTTGTCTACAACGCTCGTTGCTATCATTTTATTCTTAATTAAGCTAATGTTGGCAAAGGAGTGGGGAGTAGGCATTCTGTGGCTCAAGAAAACGTGCGTGTATAATACTGAACGTATTAAAACCGTATTAGCACCTAACCGATTGTATGCGAAAGTAGTTGCAATGTTGGGTCATATGAATAAAAATGAGCACTTGCTCCGGAGCGAAGTGAGTCTACTCCGCGGCACTGAGTAGAAGCTCCATTTCGTATGAATAAAAACTTCGTATGTCTCCGAAAGAACTTACTCATCTCTCGCGAGCATTTGCTCGTCGTGAACAATGTTATAGTCCAGCTAAGAGTTTTTAAAAATTGGTTTCTGAAATCAACAAGGAAGTTACATACTTACGCGCCGTCGCGCCACTTTTGGACGGACATAAGGAGCAATGTTTGTTTGTCTCGTCTTTAAATTCGTAGATGATCGGACGGCGCAGAAGAAACAGCAGCTAGTTTTGCCGAATTGCTAAGCGAAATAAAATTATTCTGAAGATACCAACTATTCGGATACCTTTGGCCGAAACGAAAACATTACCAATGTTTGAAAAACCCCCCGAAAAAATTCCAAGTAGAAAAGAGCGATGGCCAATTAACATAAGAAATGCAATATGAAACGTCCGTGAAAGCAACGCCCCGATAAAAAATCGTACCAACCATACATTGTCCTTTTCGAATCTGTAAAGATTCTAATAGTCTACATCACGAGAATTTCGCCTTATCTTGTATTTTTGTAGTCCGCCGCATCTGCATATCAACCAACGGTAAAAAATCTGCCAATTTAACCTTACGTTTCAAATGTGAGTCTGCTACTAAGGTCCCTCCGAAATTTTGGAGCAAGTGCTCGCTCTAGAGAGTAAACGCTTAACTTTATTCGTACCAATTCCGAGCATTTGCTCGCCAGTTGAGAGTGCGCTCAGAGATGGAGCTAGTCTTCAGAGACTGAGCAATTGCTCACCCACTTTATTCACACGAAACTGAGAAAGATCTCCGAAACTCGGAGCAAAGAGTAATTGCTTACTTTTATTCATACCACCCGTTGTTTAGAAGAGTTGAAGCACAGTTTCTGTCACTGCCCTTAACAGATATTCTAAGTACAGTATATAGAATTGGGGTGATTTACAATGTGTACATGTTTTTTCGTTCATAAATTATTTGAATACAAATCAGATGTTTTTTATTAGTTTTTGCCCCATCTCGAATTTTATTCGGATTATCCGAAATTTCGGATTTGTGGGCTTCTACTGTTTAATACACCACAAAACGGCCACCATTTTAATGCTACATTTTAGCTTATAAAATAAATTTCACTCTTATGTTTGGTACATAACTGGGCAAGATTTTTAAGGGGTAGTAACATTTATTTTTCTTTTCACATCTTTTGTATCGTATAGCATTTATTGTTGGGAAGACAGATGTCAATTTGATCGTAGAGTTTCTATTACACACTCGTTCCACATATTCAATACTAGTCTGTTTCCATTGCTGTGAAAAGGAAAGAAAAAAGAAAAAGAAACCACTATTTTTCCTCTTAGGATGGATATCTTAGAGGACACTTTTCTTACCTGTAATAATGAAACTCTTATCTTATTAATAAATTCATGAACTACTTGATTTATAAAGTAACTATCAGCACACTGTATTGTAACACTGGTGTCCCCTCGGAACTTAGCATAATTCAAATATTTGTATTTCAAAATAGAAATGAGACAAAACGGGGGGGAAATCCTCTAAGTGCAAAAGCTATCACGCAAGTCAATGGCAATATACTGAGTGCATTGTTAGAAATAAATACAAGCCTAATTGCTGCAATGTATAAACGGGTTAAGTCATCAAAATCCACTTCTTGGTAAATTTTATGTTTATTTGCAAGTAATGTGTAATTTTTATAAAATTGTATATTTGAAATGAATGAATAAAGCATGCTGATTCACGAACTATTAGATTAATGAATGTCGGTTGACTGTTTTAGGTATCATAGAGGTCAGCCTGTGTATGTTGAGGGTAAAGAGCTTCCACGCTTTCCAGCAGTAATTTCGGCAATAGGAACTGAAGTGGTGAGTGCATTTTTTGTATATAATTGTAATAGTTTTTGAATGAGTTGGCCCGTTTACTGAAATGTGCAGTCTTCAGATATACTATCTTTCTTCGTTTCCTTTTCCTCTTCTGTATTTTATGTTGTTAGCTTTTAGTTTTATTACTATCCTAGAACTTTCTTTTTTATTTGAATATACAATTGATGAGTTGTGATTGTACAAATGCTGTTGTCAAACTAGTGTATAATTGATATTTACCTCTTAAAGCTCTCATTGTTTACTTCAACTCCGTCTGACCTGTACAATTGATGTCTAGATGAGGGATTGCATGATCAATGGAATAAATTTCGCAGCACCTTCCACAACACAGCCGCCTGCGGCGGTATTGCGTAATGGCAGCGGCAAACGACCCACAGCGTCGGTTTTTCGTTCAGCCAGGTCGGGCACAGGACGACGACGCACGACCAGACAACCCTCAGGCGACGGCGATACCGCGTTAACGTGGCGAGAGCCTGAGTTTGATTTCCGAATCAGACGAGGCCGAAGTCAATGGCTGATCGGAGCACGAGTTAAGATGAACTCAAGAGATTCTGAACACAACTCGTGCTGAAATTAAACTTTACGTTCGTGCTAGTGCAAGCCAGAACTATAAGTCATTGCGAGTCATAACGCAAGACATTACAAGCGCATCTTTGATAAGTAAATTTTCACATGCCAAGTGCCAGACGCAAGTTAGTCTTCGAAACGCAAACGCTAAGTTCTAGTCGCAAAGACCAAGTGATTCCTGGAGCCTCACATGCGACAGAACGAAGGATTCAATCCCCTCCTCTAATTCGAGTGCCTCGCCCTGATTGCTTAAAATAAACTATTGGGTGCAGTGGCGGGGTGATCTTCGAATTAATGACGCACTTGCTCATTCGACAAACAGATTGCCGTTGTATTTACGGTGCGCCGATTAATGCGGTTCATTCTGGGGGGTGGAGGGGACACTTCTTTGTCGTCGCGGTCGGTGGAAATCGACGCAGCTGCGGCGTAACCTTTCGACCGACGCTCACGACTGCAATCTTTGAAAATATTCCTTTCTCCAAAAGAACCGCCTGGCCTATGCGCCAAGTCCGCATTACGAAATCGCTAGTATGCAATTTTATGGAGGGGGGAGGTTGAACGGTCTCCCCTTCGTACGAGTGTATGCAAAGTCGCGGTGTCTTTCGGAGTACCACACCCGCGCCCGTTTTAAGAATACGTTATGGCCTTGACCATTGCGCTTTATTGAATGCTACCACTCCAGCAAGAGCGTTGCGCCATCTTTTGAATCTTCCCTTGTTGTTACCGGAGGAAACTTTTTCTTTTGACTCTCGGCACTGGGCGGGGAGGGTCGACCTTTAAAAAGGATGGCGGCTGTCTTTTGACTGCATTGAATCTTATGGCGGCGCCTCGATGCTATGGGTACGTGGCGGCCAGTATCTCGGGGCTGCCGCGCCAAAAACAGACCGTCTCATGCTGCGGGACCCTGAGGGTCATACACTTGTCCGCCCGCGCTCTGTCGGGGCGCCGGGAAAGAGAGTGGCCGGGCCGGGCATTTCAGGTATTACTCCAGCAACTTTTCTTGAACGATGGATTGACGATTTCGGGTGGAGTGGGGGTATTAGTTACAAAGTCGGCCAGTAGAGTATTTTAAGTAATGCCAACGTCTGTGAAATGAAAGTTAAAACTGCATCTTGTGCTTAACTTTTTCGGGAGTTTTAGGTGATTCCCTAGAAGGACCTGGACCTGACTCAGCCATTTATTTCGATATTGACAATAAATCTGAACAGGGATTCTGCGCTATGAAAGCAACTGGCTTTGACTAGCTTCTGTTTCACGCCAACGAAGTTTTAATGATTGGAAGGTTGTCATCAGCTGCGAGCTTTTGCCTTCAACTGTTTATTGCACAAGGGAGGGGGATCAAGGTCATCGTCCAAGAAAAGTTGCGCGAGTAATACCGCGCCGCGTCAAATGATTTAATTACTAAGAACGGTAGAGTTGATCAAGCCTGTTCACGGAGGATGCACTGTTACATTGGCAATCTCCCCCTTCCAAGAAAATTCTTAACGCAGCGTGGAATTGTCTTTCGAAAAAAACTAGCTTCGTGTACGCAGAAATAATAGAAAATACATTAAAAAACAAAAATGAGTGAAACTAATCCTAATATAGCATGACAAGACCTAACTACAAATTAACCAAAAAATAATTCAGAAAGAAAAGCGGTTTATTTGTAAAGGCGTCGAAGACAGCTCCACAAGCCGAAATAATGTTCAATCCTTTTCATAACCTGCAAATGACAAATGTGCGACAATGAATGTACAACTCAGTTAAACGAACATTTACAGTACACAATAATACAACGAAAAACAATTTTTAAAAACCCCCAACCGCGGCCTGTAAATGGAGCGGCAGAGACCAACGCGGCGTCAGTCGCCAGTCAGCCACCGGCCCGGACACTTCGCCCGAGACCTCGCCACTGAAGATGCCCACCGCAGTCGTGGGCGAAACGTTTGGCATCCCAAAGCCAATTGGACCACGGCCCATCAGCCCGGAAGACATGATGAATATTGACTCCGGCCGTGAAAGCCTACAATGCTGTATAATTTTTAAAAAATTTAAGAAGGCACGTAACATCACCCTACTCTGATGAAATCTAATCGAAACATAACCTTCGATGAAACCGTGGTTGAGTGAAAATCCGACTTGTGCAAGGAGCGGCTGGCATTAATAAACTCATTATTATTTAGTTCTAATGGACAATATTACATTGTGAATTACGCGGCGAAGTTCGATTTCCTTTCTTTGCTAGTCATCTAAAATTCGCATGAATAAAATAAAGAAAAAGACTGTTAAACTTCATTATTTCTCGCAAATAGCCACAACGTAATCAACTAATGAAAATAACTACATCACGGAATTCCTTCATCATTTAGACTGTTGCTATCGGCGCATCATCTTGAAGCAAAATGTATTAATAAAGTTAAGAAGATTCTAATGCCTGCGTTTTTATTCTAGAATAACTAACGTTTCTATTTTCACAATAACACAGGTGGTCGATTTCTTTCAATATGCGACAATGCTGTCATATAATCACGTCTGAAACAATGGTATGCACACCCGCCTTCAGGGTATGGTATATTGCGTAGCAACAAAATCTAAATAATACGTCAAACACTACCGATTCTGGACCAAAAATCAGGGATGGAGACTGCTAGCCTTACACACATGTCCTTATAATTTCTTTGCAATTCCTGCAAACGATAGAGCTCTTCCCGCTGGGAATGCTAGTTTTCCACATTTTTTCTTCAACCGTGAGCTTGATCCCGCGTCACACACACACACCATTGTGACCTCCTTCGGCACGAGAACACCGGTTTCACCTTCCTCTCATCAGCAACCTCTTTCCTGTACTCAATATTACGGCTTCCTTTGCCGACTCTATTTTATTATTAACTTTTCTTAAAATTAGCATAAAAAATTGCTTCGTACCCGAGGACCTTGCGAGAAGACGTGTGATATTACATCAATTAGCGCTGAATAATAAAGTTGGCAGGTCCTGTCTTATGATGGAAAAGCTTCCCTTCTTGCCCACGTCGACATCAGAACACTTACTAATTTAATATTCATGAAAGCAATGTGATAAATTATCAACTGTGCATGATACTCATCCCAAATTTCCAATACATTTTTGCCTGTGTATATTGAGAACTCTCGCCTCGATTTCTTTGCATTTAATATGATAATAGGGCATTTTTTTGCTCGTAGAAAATTTCCGTGTTCTTTACCTTATGCATTACAAAAATGTACATGATCCATAATACTTACGAGCCAGCGTCATCTCTCGTACGGAGTTCCCGTAGCTAGTTGAATCAATAATTAGTGACTTCTGCACAATTCTGCGCGGGATTTCTTCCGTTCTCATGCGATCATAGCGGCTCCGCCCAAGATTTGTGCGGCGTAAATGGCTCCGTGCCCTACATATGCTCCTCATAACATGTATGAAAAAATGTATAAAAATGGGTCCTTTCGTTTCGTCGTAACATAAAATGAATTTCTATACTAGTTACTGTTTTAAAATGAAAATTAAAAAATGACATTAAAATCAGCCTCTATTTATAACCTTCAAGTAATTAATTTAAGAAATAAATTTGGAAATAAAATGTCTTTGTCAATTTTCGACATCAGTTTTCAACCAACATATGACCTGCTTCATTCTCTTAAACGTTCTTCAGACTATCCACCAATAAAATTTAATCAAAATCAATGGTGCCATTTTTTTTGAAAATCTCAGGGGCCTCCAAATTTAAAATATCGGTTTCAAATTGAAGGAGCAGCGGCATAAGCCAGATCGATGGAATATCAATTTTGGAGTAAAGCGGCTGAATGGATTAGCCGCGTTGTTTACAGACGGACACACGTTTTGCTGTCAATATATTTTTCGGTATCAAGGACCCACAAATAATGGATTTTAACTACATCACGTGTTAGAGAATTTTTTCCGTAAATTTAGCTAATTCATTTATCCATTTTTTCGTTACCAGGACTCTGTAATAAGATTTGTGCCTTAAATTCGCCGTATTTTGGTGCAGCATTACATAACATTCTCTTATGAAGTTAATTCTTCAAGTTGAGAAAGTAAAAATTAATTACTCAGTATTAATGGCTGCTTAATGAATATCTGCGATTATTTTTATACGTTAAAATCTAAAGTAAAAAGTTGACTTAACGGGTTTTGCAAACGTATCGTTCCAATTACGAAACAAACTTTGGTTGCAAAACCCGCTTGTTGAGGCAGTTAAATATTGGCAGACCTTTTCTGAAGAGATTCTGCCTGATATCTTCTAAAACGTCTGTTAACGCTTTGTCACTGAAAACAATCAAAGCATCGTTAGCATTGTCAGCGTAAGAATCGTTAAATATTGAAGAAAAGTGCTAGCTTTACCTGGTACTGGCGAACGGAAAGCATTTTCCTTATCGCATGTATTTCTCATCCGTAATGATCTTCGCACGGGGGTCGCGCGCAAACACGCTCAGGAAATGAAATACCAACTTAACGTAATAATACAACCTTCAGTGTAGTCGACACTCGCGTATTGCGTAGCTTCTACACTGGCGAGGCGATCCGTTGTGAAATCACTAGGATGCTCTGATTTTTCAACAATATGATTCTGTCGCGTCTTGTATGGAAAACGCTAAATTCTCAGATTTTGTCGACAAAACCCAGTGCGTCCTGCACCCCGCCCGGGAGGTGGCTCGATTATTAGAGTATTAGCAGAAATTACTTCGAGAAGTTCTATACATCGCTGTTTTGTGTTCTCGTCAGGCAAGGTTCTGAAAAGACATATTTCACACGATTAACCTGTGCCGTATGAATCATTATGTATTGAAGAGATTGTCAGGGTTACCTTCGTCTGGACGGAAATAGTTCTCATTACAAATTCTATTCGTTAATCATGTTTCTGCTGTTTTGCGTGTCTCAGAGCGTGAGCCACGGAGACTGCATTAATGTGCTGGGAATTGCTTGTCAACGTACCGAATCAAACTTTCCATGCACCTACACACGTGTTACTTAGCTTCTTTGCACGATTGCTACGAAACTGCAAGCGGCTCCAGATTCTCAATCAATGCGATCTGGTCGCGTCTTATGTGGAAAAAATTGGATTCCGGGAAATCTCTGACAATGTGTAACTTTTTGTCGTGGTTGCCCAGGAGGTGATGCGATATACTGGACAGTTTTGGAAGCAGTTGAATTTCCATTGCGAAGAACTTCCTTGTAAAATAACTTTTCTGCTGTTTGTGAGAGAATTTGCGGTTTTTTTGAGGGTGGGGTATTAAAAAACAAACAACTTAACGTCAAAAAGAGAACAAAAATGGTCAACATTAGTGTTTTTAAAATTCACCACGGTGCTTTCGACATCACAAGATATACATAGGAAGAGATACATAGATATACGTAGGAAATACAATAAGCTCCAAATTGCTTTTTAATAAAACCTCGACAATATTTTAGAAATTGAACACCTTGCGAAACGATGCATCTTAGTTAAAACAGCATCGAAAATTGTAGAAAATGAAATTGGCTGAAAATTGCTTTGAAGTGACATCGACCTGAACACTGTCCATCAATTCAAAATCGCTTCCGGCTTCTTCCTTGTTTGGAGAGTTGTCAGCGGCAGGAGCGACTCTAGGAGTGCCTACCTTCTCGAACACCTCGATATGGAATTTGAGTATGCCGTTGGTCCAGTCTTCGCGAAAGTGGAGCTCCAAAAGCTTTTTGACGTCTCCGAGTTCGGCTTCTGAAAGTTATCCACCTGCTGTGGTTGGTGTTGGGCCGTTTGCTTTGCTAAAACGTTTTCCCCCTCTCCATCTTCAAATTTGTAGAAGGGCTCTTCACGAACGAGACAAATCTTGTTTTTACTTTCCGTTAACACGATTTTTTTGGCTTTTTTAATTTGGAAATGCCAGTTACCAATAACTTTCGCCGAGTCTTCTCTTTCCACTCTTGGATTCCTTCCAATCTTAAACAAGGCAGTTATTTTGTCCTTGACATACTACCGTTGCAATTTCTCAAAGTGCGTATATTTCGACAATGCATCGGCAGCGTGAGCTCCTTTATTGCGCATTCAATTCTCAAAATTGAAATACTAATGTCTAAACCACACTTAGGATTTTCACCAAAATTGATATTTCCTGGTTGATCAAGCAGTTGTGGTTCAAATTTGAAATGCAATATTTTAAATTTAAGGTGTCCCAGTGATATTTTACTCGTAAAGCCTCGGTGACATTTTTGAAATTTCTCAAAAATGAAATCAAATGTTTTGCTTGAATAAATCAAAGAATGCTTATAAAACAATGGCAATCGTAAAGGCTACTAATGTGGTACAGAACATGAATTTCTGGCAGTTGTTATAGGACTCTTATCCTTTCTGTTCTGAACAATTCCAGTGTTGGATCAGTGACTGCTTCGAGCTTTGACAACTCAGTTGTGAGATCATTGAATTAGTGGTTCTAAAGAATGGCACACACGTTCTCATACTAGTTAGTTTCCTATTCTCTTGAGTAGAGACCTTTTCGGTTTAGCTCCACCCTCTTCCCAGTTGCTATTTCTGGTGTCTAGTATACTTACCAGGGAATCTCATGATACCTACTGCTCCTCTGGGGACATTCCATTCCCTGTGAAGAGAATTTTCACATTCTTTGAATATTGCATTGGCTTCTCTTGGTCCTGTTGCATTACAAATATGCTCATGGTAACTCTTGGTCCTGTCTCTGTGCTTGCACCGTTGATCTAAGTGCAGGAACTCATTTGTCAATTGCACACACGTCTCGCACAGAGTTGCCTGTGAGGCCAAGATACTATGGAAAGATTAGAGTACAGATGAAATTCACAAGGACTCGGTAGGCACTCCATCCATGAATACAACTTAAGTGGTGATATTTTACTTGGATTTTGAACCCAGAGCCTGAGAGTTCACTTACTTTGGCTCATCTGCCCCAAGCCCCTGTCTCACGAGACTGAATCACTATTTGTATACATGTTATGGTTATGTAACAACAATAATCTGATAAAATTAATAAATAACTAAAGCTGAACTTTTTATGCATACATAACATTATGCATATTCTGACACATTTAATATAAGTATTTTAATTACTTCATTTCCATAGTAAGAAAGCTAATAGTTATTTTTGCATCATTAAAATCTGTCATCACACTCGGTAACAAATAACTTTTTCAAATTTAACTAGCTATGAAAATGTTTAGAAATGTAATATGTACATCGAGGCATTGTGTTTTATCAAAAAATGTAGTGTTTCACATTTTCTTAATTTTTCGGTCCCCTTTTTTTTTTTTTTTTTTTTTTTTTTTTTTTTTTTTTTATTTTTTTTTTTTTTTTTTTTTTTTCCACAGAAACGTTTTGAGATTTTAAGTTACTTAAAAAGGAGTTATTTGAAGCACAATTATTCACAAATAGGTTTGTGTAATTTTTGAAAAAATGTTACATCAAAGTAATTTTTGTGTCATGTTTTTTAGTGCATTTAACTCAACCTCTTCAAAAAGTATAAAGAAATGGATGCTGTGCTTAAGTAAATCTCGTACTTAAAGTTTCCCACTTTTCCAAGTTACATGAAAACTAATATGTTCTAGGAAAATTAACTTGACAAATTGAACATCTAATTTTGAAGAACAGATATTACTGAGAAAATATGTTTATCTTTTCTAATATTGTTGTATGACAGGGTCCAAAAAAATTGCAACTTTCTCAAAAATTCAGAGGTACCAATAAAAGTTGGACCTTTGATTTCTTTATTAATATATTTTGTTTTGTTCTAGGAAGAAAATAAAAGAAAAACCTCAGAGCCCCCTTTTCTCTGCTGAGATAATTGTGGGAATGTCCCTTGCAATTCATGTAAAATGCCCTCAAAAATTAAAATATTTAATTTAATTTTGAATCTCCATTTTCAAGAATATTCTATATATTGATTAGGTGTTAGTGTGTTTGATTGCTGCTGTACAGATAGACTTTTTTGAAGGGGAAGTCAGTATAAGCGGGCCTCGACACACCTTTTTCCATTAAAATGTAGTCATTGCTTTCCGCAGCACACAGTTACATACATTTTTCAATTATATATGTATGATTATTACCCCTTATATTAGACAGTAAAATTGAAGCTTTTGATTAAATAATGGATCTCTCTTCTCTTTGTGCCTTAATAGATGTCAGTACCTTAGAAATTTTAATTGGAGTGTCACCAGGGAAAATTTTCAGTGGGGTCAGCAAAAGAAATGTTCTGCCTGCAGATACAGTCTGCTCAGTAACTAAGGTCAGAATAAAATTACAAGGTGAAAATGCCATCCCACTGCACGTTTAACTGTCATTTTGAATTGGTACATTTGTGGAGCGCGAATGCTTTGCAACATGCAATACCTCACAAATATGATCAGAATTGAGTGAATATTTTCAGATAATTTAGTACTAATGGAAAACTATGTCTTTATCATTATTTGTTTACGCTTGTATTATGTAGTAATTCGATTTGTACTTTCTTTTACCTTTAATAATTTTTATATATTATAGACTACTTGTAGTACTTTTATATAACTTAAGTTTGTTTTTATTATTACTCGGTCAGGTTCTTCAGTGAAATAAGAATTTTTGTCTAAACTAAAGATAATTGATCTTTTGCAGATTTGGGTGAAGAAAACAACAGACGGTAGTAAGGTACGAATATGTACTTCTCAGCTAAGTCGAGGAAAAGTGACTATCAAGAGGAGAGCATCATAATTATTACATGAGTTGCATCAATCACTTCATCAATGTACAGTTAGAATTGTCTTGTCATAATGCATAAAAAATTTTAAAGTAAGCTTCAACCTCCATTACGTCTCTTTGAGATGTGTGTGACATTGAACTGAAAAGTGTATTTATTAAAGTCCAGTCCATACGGAAGTTTTTATACCTTATAATATTTTTTTTGTAAATAAATTTATTGAAATATTGTGTTGTGCTTTAATTATCTCAAAACAGTATTTTATTTTCTTGTATAAGTTGTGCATTTGTTTCATTTAGTTTTTTGAATCAGCAGTTCTTAAAAATGTTTACTTTTTACTTTCTCGTCCTTTTATAAGAAGAGAAAGGATTATAATTGTGCACCAGAAAACAAATTTCCGACAACAAAAAAAGAAACAACTCTTATTATGGGCCTTAGAAACGAAAAAAGTGGATAAATCTTGTTCTTACGTATAGTAAATTACTTCATCTAACACGTGTGTAGACAGAATTCACGTTTTGTGAGTCCTTAATATCAAAAATGTATTGACAGCAAAACGTCGATCGATCTATCCATCTGTGGTCAAGCGCCAAAACCATTCAGCCTATTTTCTTCAAAATTGATGTACCCCAATCGATGTTGCGGCACCTTCAATTTGAAACAGATATAAAACTTTGGAGGATACTTTACATGAAACCCCGGATCATTTTCTAAAAAATTGCGTCAGTATTTGTGTTTAAACTTTGTCCTTGGTTAGCATAAAGGACGCCTTTGAACGAACTTATTGTGCAGATCTCATTTTTGTTGAAATATCTTATTTTTCGTAAATTGCAAAGGTTTTGAATGTATTGAAAGCCAACTCAATCTATTTTGATATGGAACCTTGGGCCAGGGCAGCGACATTGGAAATCTTCCTTTGAGGTCTCTGCCTTCTTATTCATCAGTTGTTTAAGTAACATTTACATTTGTCAGTTTTTCCGTTGCTCAGTAATATAGTTCTCTGGAGGTTCTGATTTGATCTTTACTAGGCCTCTGTGAGCTTGCATGAGCAGCAAGAGTAAAAGTCCCGCCCGTAACGTGAGTGACTGCCTGTCTATTCTGATAATTATTACGTGGGGAAAAGCCAATGAGCAGCGAGGGTAGGATTTCGGGAGTTAGCGGAAGAGGGCCGTAGGCAAACAGTGTGAGTGCTCTGAGCGTACAAGCATACATGATTGCTACGAGTCGATAAGTCATTTTGCCTTGCAAGAGGTGAGGTAGAAGATACTATTTTTTATTTTGTTATGTTATTGGTAAACAAACCCTAAGTTTTTCCTCATCCAAATACTTCGGGAAGACTTTTGGTAGCCAAAAACAGTGTGTCTGTCTCTCTCTCTCTCCCTCTCAGGCCAGATACATTAATATCTAGCAGTTATTAAAATGGTTTGTTGGTATTCCCCCACACCATTGGTACAGCAAATAACTGATTTAAGTTTCCGACACGACAGGGACTGTCAATTTATAAAGAATACGCAAGTTTTATAATTAATATATTTTTACTTTCTCACCCTTACTAACGTAAGGGGTCATCCAAAAATCCGTAGCGCAAATTTGAAGTTTTTTGAATCCCCCCCCCCCCCCCCCCCACCACCACCAAGAAATTACGTACCACCTGCGATAATACCCATATTTTAAATGCAAGAAATGAAAATAAATTATAGAACAATTGAGGGCAAGTTTTGAGTGAAGAAAGGGCGCAAAGGGGAGAAAAATTCCGATCACAAGCTCTGCATACGCCGCTGTTGAGGATGGCACAAGGGCAAGAGTCTACTGCGCCAATTTAATGTTATTCTAGAAAACACTACAGATAAGTTTTGAATCTTTTCTTTGTAATCTTACAGATTCAATCAAAAATTGATCAAAACGTATTTTTATTTATTGTAACAGCTTCCAATAACTTCAAATTACTTTTATTTTAAAACAAATTATTTACATATTTTAATGTTTTGGTATAAGATCTCAAAAAAGGAAGTATTTCCGCAAATGTAAAAAAAAGAAATGTTACGAAACACTAATCGAATACCCCCTGCTCCTATGTATAGCGTAATAGTTATAACGAGGCGTAATGCTGCCTCTTTAGCATTACGTAATTTATGTACTACCCCTGAAAGTACTGTTATCGTGTACCCGAAAAAGGCGAATTTTCGATACAAAAATTATTATTGCCGGGCTCAGCTAAGGAAAAAATGAATAAATCCAGTTGCTAAATAAAGAAAAAATTCTCTAACCCGTGGTGTAGCCAGAATCCATGTTTTTAGGGTCCTTGATACCGAAAAATTGATTGACGGCAAAACGTCCGTCTGTTCGTCTATGCACAACTAGCGCATAAACCGTTCAGCCGATTTTCTTCAAAATTGATAATCCCCAATCGTTCTGGCCGATGTCGCGGCCCTTAGATTTTGAAACCGATATTTTAATTTGGGGGTACTTTACATGAAGCTCATGGGACTTAAAAAATGCTCAATTTTTTTAAATAAAATTTTGTTGTTGGAGAGTGCTGAGACCGTTTAAGAGAATGGTGCAGGTCTCATTTTCATTTACTTCTCCGATTTGTCGAAAATTGAGAAAAAAATAAAAACTTCAAAATTGGAAATAGAAATTTTGTCTCAGACAAAGTCTGTTGTACAAAATTAGCTTTTTAAAAAATGTTATTTACATTTTTTGAAAAAACAAGTAGTTTTTGCGTAATATGCTCTTGAAATATATATCATACTTGGACCCACTTGTAGTAATTTCGCTTAATATGACATCTCTGCATTGCACTTAAAAGCTTCAGATTTTCCGTTGCGGCAGAAAGAAATACTTCGAGTTAATGATTTAATTAGAAATTACAAAAGAATAAGCCAATGACATTCGTTGTTGTTTTTTTTTCGAGTATTTAATAATTTTTGTATTTAAAGAATGTAATGCTGCACGTCCAAGAAATTATTTGTCAGATTCTACATTTTTACGAATAGTAAATTGATTAACATTAACATATTTAAAAATTGTTTGAAGCGATGAGAAAATAAAACATTTATATAAGGCAATGAATTCGTTGTTTCGAATGCATTCATAATGGGATATATTTGGATGACATTTATTTCTGATTGTTCCATTTATTTTGAAATTATCCTTGCTTGTCTGTATAATGTTCTGGAAATTAAAAAAAAAAAAACGTTTATAATAGTTTTCGTTCGTGTACTATGAATTTTTTCAATAAACTAATGTACGAACTTGGCAGCAAAGATGAAACATTTGGCAGCGGCAACAAACTTGGCAGCGAGATTTCTGCTTTACTGCTCTCCGGGGCACCTATAACTGTTTAATTTCTTAATTGATTATGAAAATACTAATTATGGTTTCCATGGCGTCTTCCTACAACTAAACTATTAAGATAAAGGTTTTCCCCTGAATAATATATGTTCCTTAAAGATAGATTTTGAATATTTCCAGTATTGTTCAGGTTATGTTGCGTGAAATATAGGCAATTTTTTAATTTTTGCTTAAACTTTTTTTTCTCAAAAAGGGCTCCATCGAGAATGGTGTAGGTGTCGTGTTGGTTGAAAATCTTGCCATTTCGACAATTGAACAAAATCAAAAATCTTCGGCGACGTCCTACAATTACACTTATGAAGAGACAATGTTTTTTCTTAGTGAAATGTGTTCATCAATAACTGATCATTAAATAAGATCACGCTCGATTTCTCAAAAACCTGAGGGCGTTTTGCAAAATTTTGTGTCAGACAGGCATTTTTTTTATTTTCTTTAATCCAGTATTTCTTAAAAAACACCCAACGCTCTTTGATTAAATTGACAACTTAGCATGAAGGACACTTAAGGTGGTTGTCACTTGTTTTAAAAATAAGATTAAACATTGCAACTGCAATTTATTAAACGATTAGATGTTGTTATATGCTTTCTCAAAATATGAAGAAATTCTACCGTGTAGTTTAAAAGACAAATCATATTTGAAAACTTGCTTTAACACGCAAAGTATAGGAACAGACATAAATAAATTAAATTGAAAACACTTCTAGAGCACATTACATGAGAGAGCAAATGTTAAAGATGTAAGTTTAACCTTTTCTAAAAAGAAAAGAATTGCTAAAAAAATATTTTAACCGTGTAGTGGAGTAAGAATACGAAAAGAAAATATCAACACGATCAACAGTTTTTCGTCCGAACGAAAAAGTGCGGCAACATTGCATAACGTATCACTCGGCGGGAATTTTAAATATTGAGAAACTTAGCAAGGCTGGTTTGTGGGCATTGCTTTGTGAGCTGACATGCGTGTACGGGGTAATTTATAATAAACGATTCAATATTTGAATGGTGTACGTGGATGATCCTTGATGGCCTTCTGGGTCGTTGCCCTATCGTCATATGTAGCCTAATGCAGAATTCTAACTTAATATTCTGCAAATTACCTTGGAACTCCCACGTCACTGAGGGAAATGTGTGTTCATTAATACGGCGTGGTCTTTTTGTATTTTGTTTAATGAAAAAACAAAAAAAAACATTAGTCTAGACTACAGCACCCAAGTCAGAACCCAGATTATAAAAATGGCTGTTCTTCACCTTCCCGACACATAATAACTTATGATAAATATGTTATTATTGGTACCAATATGGTAAAGCGTTGCCAAGTTTTTTGCCTGAAAGTTATCAGTTCTCGGAAGGAGTTAATTGCCATCTAAATATATTATTCTTGAAAAAGCATTTACATAATATGTAAGATATGTCATACTTATAAGATAACTAAAAATTTAAGAGAAATGCAGTTATACATAAACGTACTTTAATCTCGTGTGTTCCGTATTTCATGTTGGCATTTCGAGTCAAATCGAAGCTTAGATTTGTAAAATAATTAACACTTTTTAATACATCATTTAAAAAATACTCGTTTACCAATCGACGCAAAATACAGAAATAATTTACTTGATACTCGTTTATTTTTTAACATGTACGTTCCAAAACTTCAACTTTTCGTTCAGCTTAGAGAGTGACGACAATCTTCTTAAGTAAATGGTGTAAGTCTCATGTTCATTGAAATGCGTAATTTTGCGAAAATAAAAATTAAAAAAAGAACATTTCGGCGTCTTCCTACAACTACAATTGTGAAGATACATTTTTTTAAAACGCAATGTGTTCATAAAAAGCAGATATTCAAATAAGGTAATGTTGAATTTTTTGAAAAGATTAGTATTTTTGGGTAATTTCGCGACAAATGTAATAGC